CTCAAAAGAATCTCTGCTAGCCTGCCTCCCATCCATCCCCCTCCAATTCCTCAAAGAATCTCTGCTAGCCTGCCCCCTCCATCCCCTCCAATTCCTCAAAGAATCTCTGCTAGCCTGCCCCCTCCATCCCCTCCAATTCCTCAAAAAATCTCTGCTAGCCTGCCTCCCCTCCATCCCCTCCAATTCCTCAAAGAATCTCTGCTAGCCTGCCCCTTCCATCCCCCTTGAATTCCTCAAAGAATCTCTGCTAGCCTGCCCCCTCCATCCCCTCCAATTCCTCAGAGAAGCTCTGCTAGCCTGCCTCCCCTCCATCCCCTCCATCCCCTCCAATTCCTCCAAGAATCTCTGCTAGCCTGCCCCTCCATCCCCTCCAATTCCTCAAAGAATCTCTGCTAGCCTGCCCCTTCCATCCCCCTTGAATTCCTCAAAGAATCTCTGCTAGCCTGCCCCCTCCATCCCCTCCAATTCCTCAAAGAATCTCTGCTAGCCTGCCCCCTCCATCCCCCCCAATTCCTCAAAGAATCTCTGCTAGCCTGCCCCCTCCATCCCCTCCAATTCCTCAAAGAATCTCTGCTAGCCTGCCCCCTCCATCCCCCCCAATTCCTCAAAGAATCTCTGCTAGCCTGCCCCTCCATCCCCTCCGATTCCTCAAAGAATCTCTGCTAGCCTGCCCCCTCCATCCCCTCCAATTCCTCAAAGAATCTCTGCTAGCCTGCCCCCTCCATCCCCTCCAATTCCTCAAAGAATCTCTGCTAGCCTGCCCCCTCCATCCCCTCCAATTCCTCAAAGAATCTCTGCTAGCCTGCCCCCTCCATCCCCTCCAATTCCTCAAAGAATCTCTGCTAGCCTGCCCCCTCCATCCCCTCCAATTCCTCAAAGAATCTCTGCTAGCCTGCCCCCTCCATCCCCTCCAATTCCTCAAAGAATCTCTGCTAGCCTCCCCCCTCCATCCCCTCCAATTCCTCAAAGAATCTCTGCTAGCCTCCCCCCTCCATCCCCTCCAATTCCTCAAAAAATCTCTGCTAGCCTGCCTCCCCTACATCCCCTCCAATTCCTCAAAGAATCCCTGCTAGCCTGCCCCCTCCATGCCCTCCAATTCCTCAAAGAATCTCTGCTAGCCTGCCTCCCCTCCATCCCCTCCAATTCCTCAAAGAATCTCTGCTAGCCTGCCCCCTCCATCCCCTCCAATTCCTCAAAGAATCTCTGCTAGCCTGCCCCCTCCATCCCCTCCAATTCCTCAAAGAATCTCTGCTAGCCTGCCCCCTCCATCCCCTCCAATTCCTCAAAAAATCTCTGCTAGCCTGCCTCCCCTCCATCCCCTCCAATTCCTCAAAGAATCTCTGCTACCCTGCCCCCCTCCATGCCCTCCAATTCCTCAAAGAATCTCTGCTAGCCTGCCCCCTCCATCCCCTCCAATTCCTCAAAGAATCTCTGCTAGCCTGCCCCCTCCATCCCCTCCAATTCCTCAGAGAAGCTCTGCTAGCCTGCCTCCCCTCCATCCCCTCCATCCCCTCCAATTCCTCCAAGAATCTCTGCTAGCCTGCCCCCTCCATGCCCTCCAATTCCTCAAAGAATCTCTGCTAGCCTGCCCCCTCCATCCCCTCCAATTCCTCAAAGAATCTCTGCTAGCCTGCCCCCTCCATCCCCTCCAATTCCTCAAAGAATCTCTGCTAGCCTGCCTCCCCTCCATCCCCTCCAATTCCTCCAAGAATCTCTGCTAGCCTGCCCCCTCCATCCCCTCCAATTCCTCAAAGAATCTCTGCTAGCCTGCCCCCTCCATGCCCTCCAATTCCTCAAAGAATCTCTGCTAGCCTGCCCCCTCCATCCCCTCCAATTCCTCAAAAGAATCTCTGCTAGCCTGCCTCCCCTCCATCCCCTCCAATTCCTCAAAGAATCTCTGCTAGCCTGCCCCCTCCATCCCCTCCAATTCCTCAAAGAATCTCTGCTAGCCTGCCCCTCCATCCCCTCCAATTCCTCAAAGAATCTCTGCTAGCCTGCCCCCTCCATGCCCTCCAATTCCTCAAAGAATCTCTGCTAGCCTGCCCCCTCCATGCCCTCCAATTCCTCAAAGAATCTCTGCTAGCCTGCCTCCCCTCCATCCCCTCCAATTCCTCCAAGAATCTCTGCTAGCCTGCCCCCTCCATCCCCTCCAATTCCTCAAAGAATCTCTGCTAGCCTGCCCCCTCCATGCCCTCCAATTCCTCAAAGAATCTCTGCTAGCCTGCCCCCTCCATCCCCTCCAATTCCTCAGAGAAGCTCTGCTAGCCTGCCTCCCCTCCATCCCCTCCAATTCCTCCAAGAATCTCTGCTAGCCTGCTCCCTCCATCCCCTCCAATTCCTCAAAGAATCTCTGCTAGCCTGCCCCTTCCATCCCCTCCAATTCCTCAAAAAATCTCTGCTAGCCTGCCTCCCCTACATCCCCTCCAATTCCTCAAAGAATCCCTGCTAGCCTGCCCCCTCCATGCCCTCCAATTCCTCAAAGAATCTCTGCTAGCCTGCCTCCCCTCCATCCCCTCCAATTCCTCAAAGAATCTCTGCTAGCCTGCCCCCTCCATCCCCTCCAATTCCTCAAAGAATCTCTGCTAGCCTGCCCCCTCCATCCCCTCCAATTCCTCAAAGAATCTCTGCTAGCCTGCCCCTCCATCCCCTCCAATTCCTCAAAAAATCTCTGCTAGCCTGCCTCCCCTCCATCCCCTCCAATTCCTCAAAGAATCTCTGCTACCCTGCCCCCTCCATGCCCTCCAATTCCTCAAAGAATCTCTGCTAGCCTGCCCCCTCCATCCCCCTCCAATTCCTCAAAGAATCTCTGCTAGCCTGCCCCCTCCATCCCCTCCAATTCCTCAGAGAAGCTCTGCTAGCCTGCCTCCCCTCCATCCCCTCCATCCCCTCCAATTCCTCCAAGAATCTCTGCTAGCCTGCCCCCTCCATGCCCTCCAATTCCTCAAAGAATCTCTGCTAGCCTGCCCCCTCCATCCCCTCCAATTCCTCAAAGAATCTCTGCTAGCCTGCCCCCTCCATCCCCTCCAATTCCTCAAAGAATCTCTGCTAGCCTGCCTCCCCTCCATCCCCTCCAATTCCTCCAAGAATCTCTGCTAGCCTGCCCCCCTCCATCCCCTCCAATTCCTCAAAGAATCTCTGCTAGCCTGCCCCCTCCATGCCCTCCAATTCCTCAAAGAATCTCTGCTAGCCTGCCCCCTCCATCCCCTCCAATTCCTCAAAGAATCTCTGCTAGCCTGCCTCCCCTCCATCCCCTCCAATTCCTCAAAGAATCTCTGCTAGCCTGCCCCCTCCATCCCCTCCAATTCCTCAAAGAATCTCTGCTAGCCTGCCCCCTCCATCCCCTCCAATTCCTCAAAGAATCTCTGCTAGCCTGCCCCCTCCATGCCCTCCAATTCCTCAAAGAATCTCTGCTAGCCTGCCCCCTCCATCCCCTCCAATTCCTCAAAGAATCTCTGCTAGCCTGCCCCCTCCATCCCCTCCAATTCCTCAAAGAATCTCTGCTAGCCTGCCCCCTCCATCCCCTCCAATTCCTCAAAGAATCTCTGCTAGCCTGCCCCCTCCATCCCCTCCAATTCCTCACAGAATCTCTGCTAGCCTGCCCCCTCCATCCCCTCCAATTCCTCAAAGAATCTCTGCTAGCCTGCCCCCTCCATCCCCTCCAATTCCTCAAAGAATCTCTGCTAGCCTGCCCCCCTCCATCCCCTCCAATTCCTCAAAGAATCTCTGCTAGCCTGCCACCTCCATCCCCTCCAATTCCTCAAAGAATCTCTGCTAGCCTGCCCCCTCCATCCCCTCCAATTCCTCAAAGAATCTCTGCTAGCCTGCCCCCTCCATCCCCTCCAATTCCTCAAAGAATCTCTGCTAGCCTGCCCCCTCCATCCCCTCCAATTCCTCAAAGAATCTCTGCTAGCCTGCCCCCTCCATCCCCTCCAATTCCTCAAAGAATCTCTGCTAGCCTGCCCCCTCCATCCCCTCCAATTCCTCAAAGAATCTCTGCTAGCCTGCCCCCTCCATCCCCTCCAATTCCTCAAAGAATCTCTGCTAGCCTGCCCCCTCCATCCCCTCCAATTCCTCAAAGAATCTCTGCTAGCCTGCCCCCTCCATGCCCTCCAATTCCTCAAAGAATCTCTGCTAGCCTGCCCCCTCCATCCCCTCCAATTCCTCAAAGAATCTCTGCTAGCCTGCCCCCTCCATCCCCTCCAATTCCTCAAAGAATCTCTGCTAGCCTGCCCCCTCCATCCCCTCCAATTCCTCAAAGAATCTCTGCTAGCCTGCCACCTCCATCCCCTCCACTCCCTCAAATAATCTCTGCTAGCCTTCTCGCATTATTTTACGCTTTTCCTACCGTATCTCCAAACAAGCAGTAGCGCGGCGCGTTCAGCCCAACGACAGCCGCGGCGGGTAAATCGACAGAATCTCGAATGACAAAATCTCGAATGACAAAATCTCGAATGATTAGAATCTCGAATGATCAGAATCTCGAATGAACAGAATCTCGAATGATTAGAATCTCAAACGATCAGAATCTCGAATGGTCAAAATCTCGAATGAACAAATCTCGAATGCCAGGATTCCCACTGATATCCTAATCTAGTTTCGTCTGGCTTGATCCAGCACCGATTTTTTGTATTAGATAGAAGCTAGTCGGCTGTGAGTATGCCCTGCCGAGGCATGGTCCTTTTTGAGCATCATACTTTACAAATGATAATGAAGAACATTAGCGTTAAGTCGAAAAATTTGTTTTTTTTTCGACGCAAAGGGCTTGAATTCTTGAAGTCTTGAACTTTTAGATAGTGTTGCTACCGCTATTGATTGCCAAAACCTCCATAGAAAAACTTTGGGTTCAATTACTAGGCCGTTAGTGGAAATTTTCATCCAAACTGTGTTCTGCTGGATCGAAGTTTTGTTCGTTCGAGATTCTGATCGTTCGAGATTTTGTCATTCGAGATTCTGTCATTCGAGATTCTGTTCATTCGAGATTCTGATCGTTCGAGATTCTAATCATTCGAGATTTTGTCATTCGAGATTTTGTCATTCGAGATTTTGTAATTCGAGATTCTGATCGGCAAGCCCGCGGCGACGGAGCCAGTGTGGAAGCCGAGACGACAGCGGAGACGTTGGCCCTTGCGATGCGGAACCTCGTAGTCGGCGAGGAACTGGAAGAAGTCCAAGTTAGTCTCTCTCTTTCTCTCTCTCTCTCTCTCTCTCTCTCTCTCTCTCTCTCTCTCTCTCTCTCGCTCGTTCTCTCTCGCGATCTCACCTGCATAATCTCCAACGAAATGTCAGCAATGTGCGCAATATGGCGTTTTCCATTTTCTTCCGGCACCCCCGACACGACCATGTACGCGTCGCCGATCGTCGCCACCTGGAAAAACATGATTCATTTTGACGATTAAATTTGGATCAGTTCTTAGGATGATTATACTAAACTCCAACCTTGTACGCCTCGTGCTTGTTGATGACGGCGTCAAAGCCAGAGTAGACGGAGTTCAGCATGTTCACCACCTCCAGCGGGGTAGATGAGGAGCACATCTTCGTAAAGCCGACCTAGAATTAGAGTGTAAATTGGTGTAATTTGTCGAGTTTTAGTAAAAACCGGAAAAAACGCACCACGTCCGAGAAGAGTACGGTAGCGGTGGCGTAGCTTTTTGGCGAGACCTCACGTCCGGCTTTAAGTTCTGCTGCGACGTATCTGAAAAGATGAGGTTCGAGAGCGAGAGCGAGAGCGAGAGCGAGAGAGAGAGAGAGAGCGAAAGAGAGAGAGAGGGAGAGAAGAGAAGAAAGAGAGAGCGAGTTAGAGAGAGGGAGAGAGAGGGTGCGATAGAGCGATAGAGAGAGTGAGAGAGTGAGCGAAAGAGAGAGAGCGCCTGAGAGAGATACAGACAGACACAGCGAGAGAGAGAGTGAGAGAGGAAGAGAAAGAATGAGCGCCAGAGAGAGAGCGAGAGAGAGAGAGAGAGAGAGAGAGAGAGAGAGAGAGAGAGAGAGAGAGATACAGAGAGACACAGCGAGATAGGGAGAGAGAGAGAGAGCTAGGGAAAGTGAGCGAGAGAGAGACAGAAATAGAGAGAGCGAGAGATAGAGAAAGAAACTCACTTTGGCAGCAACTGTGACAGCAATCGATCAGCCTTCTGATTAGCCTCCTCTAACATTCCAGTTATCTCTGCCACCAGCTTCTCCAGATTATTGGCATACTCCTCCATCATCCTCATCATCGAGTCGACAAGACTTCCCTTGCTAAAATGGAGAGCATGCATGGGTACCGTATTTCCGCTAATATTGCCCCCGTCAAAAGTAGAAAAAAAGGAGGCGCTTGCTACATGCAGGCGCTTGAGCTCTGGCATGCTAGCGGAGATTCTTGTGGAAAAGTAATTTCTGCAACAACCACGTCTAATTTTCCCAAGAGCAGAAGCCAGGCTAGCAGAGATTTTTTGGGAAAAAGTATTTTTCCTGCCATAACCTCTGCCAGCTTGCCTAAAATAGTCCGCAGGCTAGCAGAGATTTTTGAGGATTGCTAAAAAAATCTGTAAACCGTTATCCTAGTTTTTTTGAAAATTCTAGGCAGGCTTGCAGGGATTTTTGATGATCCTTAAAGTCTGTTTTTTAGCGGTTTCGCAAAATTTTCATAAAAGGAGGGGTAGGAATTTTGGGGGGAAATACGGTAGTTCATTTTCTCTTCTATATGGGTTCAAACGTTACTGTATCCATCCGCCATAAGCCTGGCCGACTCTAAGTTAGGGGACCGTAACCCGGAATGTTGGCAAGGGACCCACGTTTTCAGGTAGGATTCCGTGGACAAGCGAACGCGTCGAATCGTTGGTCGAACTTCCGGCGTGTCGCTTCAGCAGTCCTGAAAGTTTAAGGGTAAAAACTTTTTCCTCTTTTTTTTGTTGTCTTTAAGAGACCCAGAGGTCTGAAAAACCAACGCTCGCCTCGACTAGGGCCAGATAACCAGGCGGATTCATTTTTAAGGCATTGGAAAGCATGCGAATCGCGCCCTCCCTCGACTAGCGCTAGACGACAGCGACGTAGCACACCAAATGACGGATGTCATTTTTTATCTTAATACGCCAAGCCTCGTTGTATGGACTGTTGCGTAGTTGTCTAGACCTAGTCAAAGTCAGGGGGGTTAGTCCGGTTAGTCAGGTCAAGATTTGATTTCTAGCTTCTTTAAACTGATGTCGCGAATCGCATTATTGTATTCTCGTTTGCTACTCATCTCCGTTTTCCCAATCGATAGAGATTATTATTATTATACCAGCTTCGCGGGCCTTGGGCGCTGGAATGCGGCTTTTGCATGGACAATTTGACTTTTCCATAGCTCGGGTCCTTCGGACCCTCCTCCCCCTACCGACCACACACGCGCGTGCAACCGGGAAGAATGAGGAAATTTCTATTTTTCACATTATGTAAATTACCCCAAAAATGAGTAAAACCGGCTTTAACTTTGTAAACCTGTATTTTATCGCAATTCTGAAAACGCCATCGGAAAGAGGAGGGTCGATTCCCCGTGGTGACGAAGAATCAGAGCGTTTTATCCAGGGGAAGGTCCTTAAATCGGGCCTCAAAGTGACATCCACACACACACACAGAGATACACCCCAAAATTATATACAGGGTGCGGCAAAAGTATTGTCGCACTTTCCGCCGACTGTATCTGCGAGGAAATTTGACAGATATTCTAGCCAAAAATCTCTTTTATGCAGTTTTTAATGCTTTATCCGATGATAAGATTTACTTACAGAATTTTTGCTTTTTTTGTCGCTAGGAGAACTTTTTCCAAAAACCCTGCACATTCAAGCCTAAAATCTGCTTTCTAGACGCTTTCTAGGTGGCCAAAGAATGGTATCTACACCAAGCCTTTTATTTCATTTGAAAGAGCATATAAAACTCTGCCTGAAAAACCATCAACCAAAGAATGTTGCGGCTCCTTTTTTGAGGGAGCCCTCTTCAAAGACGAGGCAAACCCAGTGCGCCGCACATGGCCGCCCCTATGCAAAAAGCGAGCTTGTGTCGTGCACAAAGCCATGATAGCCTTGCGAATTTTTCTCTGGTTGATTCATGCTACTTATGCTTACGACGAAGCATATCTGGACTAATATAAAAAAATAGTGTCTGTGTGTGTGTAGACACTTTGCATAAAAACCCGGGTTCCAGCCATAACTCGAAGGGGAATGAATTTTTTGGTCCAGAAATAAGGTAGTTAGGGGTAGTCGAGGGCGTAGATTACTGCACGCTTATCAGATTTTTACTAAAAATTCGTTTTATACCTTATTTTAACGTTTTAGAAACATATGGAAATAGACTAATTTGCATACGAGGCGCTAGGAGCCTCATTTTGGCTTTTGTCGCGCTCGCGGCCGGTTGCTTTTGCTATTTTTTAAGGGTTCGCTCTAGCTCTTCGCCCGAATGATGCAAAGCCCAACTTTTAAAAATCCCCGCGCAAAGGCCAGGGGTGAAAAGCCGCGTAGCGGCTTTTCACCCCTGGTCTGGACTAATTTTCAGCCCGATCGGTGGAGTTTTTAGATTCTTGAAGGGTATCCACTGAAATTTCAATAGAAATGGCTTGGCGTTACGGCGGTGGTCTCGAGAAATTTTTATTTGCGGCGTAAATTATTTTTGCAACTGATATTCAAAAACTACATACTTGGAAGTACCTCTGAAAAAAATTTGGTCGGGATCGGCTCAGATTCATTATTTTTAAAAGGACCGGGAAGGGTATTTTAGATGAAAAAATGTCCCGTCAGTGCGGCGGTGGTCGCGAGAAATTTTTGTTTGCGACGTAAATTATTTTTGCAATTGAGATTTGGAAACTACATACTTAGAAGTATCTCTGAGAAAAATTTGGACGAGATCGGTTCGCTGTCACTATTTTTAAAGGGGCCAGGAAGGGTACAGGAGTTACAGCAGTCGCCGTCTTGCCCCCTCCCCGTCTTGTCCCAAGTACCTGGTCCCCCCCGAAAGCTCAAATTAATCCTTCTTTGCAAAGCTTTGCTCCATCAAAACATAAATAAAAATGGGTCAAGGAAAAAAGTGTCAAAAAATCTTCTTTGCGAAAATGCCGATTTCTCACCTAGTAGACGATTTTTAGCTCCCGCCTGCCATTTAACAAAAATAAGATAGAAACAGGCGTAGAAAAAAATTGCGTTTCACTAGCCCTTAGACCACCGCCGAGGCCTATTTTGGACCACCGCCAGGGCCGGGATTGCCCAACCCCTTCGAGCACTGTGCCCGACCCCGGAAGCCGCCCTTCAGATGAACAATCTGTGCCATGTTGACCAGCATGTAGCACTCTGCCACCTGGCCTCCGAGACGGTCATCTGCGAAGTCCCGACCCCTTGGGTCGACCAGGGAGTCGAATTACCGGCCGTGTCCCATGACCTACTACTACGAGCCGAGGGCCAAGACGTGGTCGCCGAGACGCCTGGAGCGGTCACCCTGCAGATCGCGGCCGAAGGCTTCCGGCACACGACGATTTTGAGCCGCGCTCGATGCGACTTGATCGACGCCCAGCTGTCCGGATGCTACGCCTGTTCATCCGGAGCAGTCCTCCATTACCGATGCCACTCCAGCAATGGCCGCCAACACGCTCGCCTCGTTTGCGGCGAACATATGGACGCAGACCTCATCTGTGACGACCAAGGAACCCCGCAAGACGCTAGTGTGAGCTTCGACTCCGCCGCCGTCGACATCGACTGCCACGTCATCTGTCCGGACAGCAACCAAACCAAGAGGATCCGTGGACGCCTCGACTACGTCGACCACGGCGATCGATGGGAAACCTGCACCACTACGACAACGACGGCCTCCCTCTACGCGCGAGTTTGGGATCTCGTCCTCCTCTCCGTGACCGACTACTTGCCGATGGCCTTCGCCTGCTTCGCCGCCCTCTTGCTGCTCCCGCGCTTCATCCGGTTCCTGGCCCGACTACTGATGTACGCCTAAAAAAGATTTCCCCGCCTGATGGCTCCCCTTTTGTGAAATTCCGCAATACCCTGTCATAATTCCCTGTCCCCTGAAAGTCCCGCGTGGCCCCTTTAGAGCATTCTCGTAACCGACCCTTCTGTTTCCCCCCGGGGAATGTCGAGAATCGCATTATTGTATTCTCGTTTGCTACTCATCTCCGTTTTCCCAATCGATAGAGACCGTTCGCTTTCCCCGTTCGCCCCCGCCATCCCGGCATTCTTGCCCCCGGGCCCATTAGCCCCTTGTGTAAAGCGGCCTCTCCGCATCCGGTCCCGCCCTTTATTTTCGTATATAAACGGAGCCATGTAATAAAAGATAGTTCAGTCCTCTACCGTTCGCACCACTGAGCTCACATACACGGAATTACGACAACTGATGGTACTCTCAGTTTTTTGCATAATAGATGGAACACGGAATTTTTTTGCATTTTTTTGGATTCAAACGGAGAATAAAAGCACCAAATGCGCGAGCATAAATTTTATCATTTTTCTGGAAGGCATCTTTTGTTGCTCAAACTCTAAACTTTGATGAGACGCTCTAGCCCTCACCCACGCTCTAGCTCTTTCTCCCTCGGTCTCTCTGTCTCGCGCTTTGTCACTCTCTATTTCACTCGCTCGCTCTCTCTCTTGCTCTCTCACTCTCTCACTATCTCGCTCTATCTCTACATCGTTCCTTCATTAAACAGTGAAGATTTCAACCAATGAAATCAAGAAAAAAATACTATACGTCCTATCCAAAAGCCGGTTTCCTTCCCTATGGGATCCTGATTAGCCAAATTTTTGGATATACTACTGCCGGCATAATTACTCACGTGGTGTCGCTCAATCTTTACCTGATCCATACGTCGTTTCTTGTTTTTATTTTATCGTTTTGCATCCGGATATCCGGGGCAACGTATAGCGCGCCTGAAAATGGAGGGTAGAGAGAGAGAGAGAGCGAGGAAGAGAGGGAGAAAGCGAGAGAGTGAGAGAGAGGGAGAGCGAGAGGGAGAGAGAGAAATCCTTACCCATTTTCTGCCAAGCTCCACTCTTCTCCTCCCCATCCTTGAGAGTCTCCAACTCGATGGAGCCGTGCTTCTCCCAGCGGCTTATCGCGTCATTAATGCCTGAAAGTTATTGAAATATATTTAGCTACCTAAGGAGCATATTAAGAACTTAATACGCTGCTAAAAAATTAATTAGATTTTTGGGCGCGCTGCGGTCGCCCGTCGTGTAAGTTGGGCCCCGTAAGGGGAAGTACCGACTCGTCACGTGCACGCACGCAATCAGACCGCAACGCCAAGGCAGCACGCACGCAACGCGCACGCAACGCGACCACAACGCAACCGCAACGCGTCCAAAAAAAAGCTTACGGGCTGCTTCGCCAGAAAACTTGAGGCTTGTAAGGCCCTAAATCATCCCCAACCTACCGTAATCCGTGAGCATGACCAGCCAATTTCTGTCAATCAGCGTCGACCAGGTGGTCAATGACCCGTGGAACCCAATGTTTGAAGTGTGGAGATACTCGAGACCCTGGAAAAGTTCTATCAAAGGTGCTGGGAAGGCAAAAATCGGCTGAAACTGGCTTGATCAAAAACCCAAAATTTACCAGCGTAATATCACGGACGAAAGCACCGTGGAATTTCCCGTCCGGCACGAAGTTCTCGTTGTAGATGAGATCCTGGAGGGTACCGCGGGAGCAGAATTTCCAGAGGAGCAACAACTCGTTCTTCTCGTTGAACGTCATTCCGAGGAAGGGGTTCAGGTTGTCGTGGACGGCTTGTTTCATCTGGAAATTGAAGGTTGCTCTCTCTCACTCTCGCTCTCTCTCGCTCTCTCTCTCTCTCTCTCTCTCTATCTATCTTTCTCTTACACTATCCGGCACTGTGCTCTAAAGACTTCGATCTCTTGCTCACTTTCTCAATCGCGCTCGCTCTCTTGCTCTCTCACGCTCTCTCTCACTCCCGCTTTCTCTCTGTTGCTCTTTCTCTCACACGCTTTTTCTCTCGCTCTCACTCTAACTCTCTCTCTCGCTCTCTATCTCTCTCTCTCTCTCTCTCTCTCCACTCACCCTCATCAGCAGCACCAGGTCCTGTCTCCCAAACTTGATCTGTTTATTCTGCTGATACATATGGTAGGTGGCATGCGTATAGACTCCAATAATCGCGTGATGCTTCACCATACTGCTGCCCATATTTGAGAGTTTTGTGCGCTGGGACCCGAGGGATAACTCAAGAAGACAATTTGGGTAAAAGCCTTCTAAAAATCGGAGCAAAAACGACTTGTTGAGTATCGTACCATCGATTTGACCTCATCCTCGTTCACTATTCTCATATCATCACGGAAGATGCGCCACGGCATGTTATTTAGGGCACGACTCTCGCTGAAAATGACAGATCTTGAAGGCCAAATTTGGATTCTGCAAAATCAAGGGACCAATGCCTCTTCAGCAGAAATGCCGAAATGACGGCGGAGATCAGGGCGAGGGTGGCTGCTGCACAGACGATGATCAGCGTGTAGTCGCATCTGGAAAATTATATGGTGTAATGGGATCGTGATCAGAATAGCATCGGCTTCAGGCGTCCCGCGATTTGGGAATGATATTTTTCGGAAATTTTTGTGCAAGCCTCACCCTTTTATTGTTAGCCACCCCCACAGCATGTTCACGGTGTGGGAATCCCACCCGCGTCCACTATTCCCTGGCTATACAAATTTAAATCAGAAGGCCACGCTCAGGCGCCTTGCAAGGCCGAAGATCAATTTAACGAAAAATTATAAACAGGTTCCAGGCTCGTTCTTAAAAAGATTATCTGTTCAGGAATCGGGATGCGCAAAAATTGAGCTCTTGGCAAGGCACTGATTAGCTTCCAACGCTTTCCCAGTTGGAGCGGGAATCAACTATCAACTAGCATAAAAAGTTTGTGTTCTCCGCGTGTCTTAAGCCAAATTCAACTCGAAGGGGAAGGGAGCTAGAGCTGAGGTCTCCTCGGATTCGGAGAGCGCGGTCAGAAACCCCTAAAATGATCAAGAACAAAATCTAAAACCTTCATTTTCATCCTTAAAAATAGATTTTTGTAATTTCGTAGTAAAAACGGTTATTTGCACGATTTTGGACATATTGAGCCAGGTCGCGCGCGTTTCGGCGAGGGGAAGGGAACGCCGCCGGGGGGTTGCCAGAAGTCCGGCTGCTTGCAGTGCGCTTGCGGCGGCTGGTTATAGGATAGTATGTTTAGCATTTATTAAGTTTATTATTATTAGCACTAATTATTATTATTATTATCATTATTATTAAAGCCACAATCGGCTTCTCCTTATCGACAGACAACCTGGTTGGCGTTGTCGTTCAGGTTGGTGTACCTAAATGGCAAACATTCTACCGTGATCTGAAGTTCTATCCAATTACAAAACAATAAGACCTACCATCTTCCACCGGCATTCGCTGCCGAATAATCGACACACGGGATATTGTCATTGATGTTTGTGAAAATCGTGCCAGCGTTGTTCGGGACCCTGGAAATTTCTGTATAATTATCCTACTACACTCAGTAAAATAACTATAAAGGCAGTGGTTTATGTCGAATATCTCGGCGGTTTTTTGCACGTATTGAGATGCAACTTTTAGAATAAACTTCTCAAGAGTGACTTGATATCTAGTACAAATCCGAAACAAATCCGTTCGTGGAAAGTCCGATTTTTGGCAAATGACGTTTTCGAAACTGTAAAAAAACTATAAAGGCAGTCTAAATAAATTCATTCAAAAATTCCTAAATTAGTTTCTTTGGAAATTTGCAATACAATCATGGTTGCTAGAACGTTTTCTATTAAAAATTGTTTTCTAGCATTAATGGTAGCCCATTTTTTGTCATTCGACCCGGCATGGCCAGGCCAGCTGATGCCTCCCATCTTGTAACGTTCTCTAAAAAAATTTCCTTCGTCGGAGCACTATTCTGGCCACGTCTTTAGCTTGGTTTGGGGCTCTAGTATTGTGGACCAATTGGAAACGCAATTTATAACGTCAAGAAAGCGGAGGTAATTCTATAATGTAATCTCTCACAGGTGCTGAAGCGACTAGAAGTTGCTTAAATCACAGCTGAATTCCCAATTTTCGTGCAGGGTGACTTAGGCGGCTTGGCCACGGTTTATCCGTGCACGTGTGCAGCTGAACAAAATGTTTCTAGGTTAGCATCTCCTCTGAGAAAAAAATTAGATACCCAAGACTTTCCAGCTTGCATCTGGGATTTCGAGGGCGTTCCACGGATCCACCGATCGGCCGAACCTACGGTCCTAGTTACGATTCAATCGTGGTTTACGTGTTTCTTAATCTTGATATGGCTTTTGTTCAGGCCGGGAAGCATGGCGACAAAACTTAAGCTTAATCCGAGCTGTCGCTGATGCGACCCCCCGATAATGTTGAGTTCCAGGCGCCTTGGACGTCAATGTTCGCCACCGCCACGTGTTTAAAATAGCAAATATAGTAGCAGGCAGGCACAAAGCATCATATACCTTCCTTAAATACAAAAATATAGTTCGCTTCTTGAAGCCGTTGCGAAATTAAGCCTCGAGTGGAATTCCGCCGTCACAAATATCATTAGAATTTGTCCACGCGAGCGCCTGGGCTGTTTTCGGTGCAGTTTCCAATTGGTCCACAATACTAGAGCCCCAAACCAAGCTAAAGACGTGGCCAGAATAGTGCTCCGACGAAGGAAATTTTTTTAGAGAACGTTACAAGATGGGAGGCATCAGCTGGCCTGGCCATGCCGGGTCGAATGACAAAAAATGGGCTACCATTAATGCTAGAAAACAATTTTTAATAGAAAACGTTCTAGCAACCATGATTGTATTGCAAATTTCCAAAGAAACTAATTTAGGAATTTTTGAATGAATTTATTTAGACTGCCTTTATAGTTTTTTTACAGTTTCGAAAACGTCATTTGCCAAAAATCGGACTTTCCACGAACGGATTTGTTTCGGATTTGTACTAGATATCAAGTCACTCTTGAGAAGTTTATTCTAAAAGTTGCATCTCAATACGTGCAAAAAACCGCCGAGATATTCGACATAAACCACTGCCTTTATAGTTATTTTACTGAGTGTATATATAAAAAAATAGTGTTTGTGTGTGTGTAGACACTTTGCATAAAAGGCTCGAAAAAACCGGGTTATTGAGATATCAGGACGGGAAAAGCGTTTTAGGGGCCAACTGAAACGTATTTAGGGGTATTCGAAGGCGTAGATTACTGCGCGCTTATCAGATTTTTTAGAAAATGACGATTTATACCTTATTTTAGTCTTTTTAAAACATATGGAAATATCCTTATTTGCATACGAGCCGTTAAGGGGCTCATTTCGGATTTTGTCACGCTCGCATTCGGTCGCTTTTGTTTTATTTAGTTGAGAGGTTGGCGCTAATTCGCTAGAATTATGCAAAGTGAACAGCTTTTAACGATACCCCCGCAAAGGCCAGGGGTGAAAAGCCGCGTAGCGGCTTTTCAACCCTGGTTGTTTTTAAATTATTATTCAGATTTTGCTCATAATTTTAAACAATTTTTGAGGGCAAACTAGCAAAGATCATTTGGGAATTTACAAAATTTTTGAGATCCTAATTTTAAGCGATTTTAGGGTTGAAACTCACTTATATCCATTAGCGCATCCGCTGAATTGTGCTCGTTTGCAGAATGACGTCTCGTCGTAGGTGGTAGTGACCGTAATACCGGCGGCTACGATAGGGGTTGGGCACGAGGCGCAAGCTAAATAGAATTCTTAACAGACGTTTTCTAGATTTGCGATTTAATTTCTAATCTTTTAGTCTTTCAATTTTAACTATTTCTAAATTTATAGATTTCCATAGCTTTAAAGATTTTGAAATTGGTGGCAAGATGTCACTATCCCTTTAAAAGCAAAATAGAGAAAAATTAACCAACAATGACAAATTCTCGAATGTAAATCCTCGAAGGCTTACAGTAATTAAAATACATACAGATATGATTCTTAGTTCGTATTTTAGTGCCTTCAATGGTCCTTTAAAACTTACGCATCGTGTAACAAATATCCTCCGTAACGGTATATGTCATTCCCTGGTAGACGGTCTGATAGTTGCCTCCCGTGCACGTTAATTCTTGAGATTCGGCTGCGGTGGGAGGGATTGTGATCACACCCTGGTCCGTGACAAGTCTGAAAAATTGCATTAAAGGGGCCAAAGAGCCGTACTATCGACCCCTTCGACCTACTAGGTCTCGACGGCAATGCGGAACTCCAAATGACGCAGGGAATATATAGGATTCCGCTGTTTGCTCAATGGAGCCGCCAGTGGCTACAAAATTAAATAGAAACGTTTGTTTTGGAGTGACTGTCGAGACCTAGTCGATGGAAGGGGCCGATTCTGGAGGGTTAATAATGCCTTTAATGGTAGGAGCAAGGTATGAATATGGATTCACGGCCCATGAAAGCCTCATGGAGTGCGAGCGCGCGAGAGAGCGACAGAGAGAGAGAGCGAGAGAGCGAGAGAGAGAAAGGGAGAGTGAGATCGCGGTAGACCGAGTAGAGAGCTAGTGAGAGAGCAGAGGGAGAGAGAAAGAGAGAGAGAGAGAGAGAGAGAGAGAGAGAGAGAGGAGAGGGAGAGAGAAAGAGAGGTAAAAAGAGAGAGATAGAGAGAGCCAGAGAGAGCTCTACCTCAAATTTCCATCAGCGGGACAGTTATTTGTAGCGGTTGAGCATCCTGCGGCATTTGTGGCAAAGCTGTAGTAGCCTTGGTCCTAAAAATAAGTGTTAAAAGTGTGTTGAAAATCTCAAAAGTTAGCGAAAACTTATGATAACAAAAATGCACAAATACAGGGTGCGGAAAAAGTTTTCGGCGGCGCACCTTTTATCAAAAAGATTTGTCAAGATGAGCGTTTCGACTACATTTTTTGTGGTGTCATGATAGATTGGGACAATTCTCATCCGATTTCATGAGCCAAAGATTTTTTAATAAGTGCTCAGCTAAAATAACCGAGCACGGAACACCGATGCGCGGGCGAGTTTCGAAATTGGCCACCATTTGGCCGATGTAGAAAGCGCGGTTAAAATTTTCCGTGGCAGACTACCAGGTTTCCGAGTTTACGGATTATAAAGAACAACCCCTTAGCATTATTCCATATCAATATTATTGCTTTGTCAACAGACATGGCTGAATTCTCAAGGGTTTTGGCTGAAAGGCGGCAGCGTGCCAAGGCTTTAGAATGTTCAGCACCGCCTAAAAGCTGTTTCCAGCGTTGGTATCAACCTCGTTTTTCTTTTTTAATTTAACGGATGTCGGTTAAGAATATCCGTACGCTAAATCCCATTAGCAAGGCCGTTCTCTTCGGATTTTGTGATTACTGGCAGGAGATTTCCCGTCTCGACCAAAAATTCACCAAAATTAGAAGCGTCATAACTCTTTCGAATTGATGCAAAATTTCTTGAGATTTTGTGGGAAGATAGACCACAGGTTTGGCAACATCTCTGCAAAATTTTGTGCCTTTTGACCAAGGGTAGCTCGCAGGGGGTACTGTAACATCAACGAAACAACAGCGTGCCGGGGGCGTTTCTAAGATGATCTTTTCGGTCGTTCTAATCGGGTAAAATCTTTGAATTTGGGTAATCCAGTCGTGACTTATGATGCATGAGTCTTCACTTTCCAGATTCGAATCCAGAAAATCTGAATAAACCTTTAGGTTTCGAGTAAAAGAGTTTTTTGCCCCGCCGAAAACTTTCTCCGCACCCTGTACCTACCGTTACGCCAGTGGCTGGTGCTGTTTGCGTCGTATCGGTACAAGTGGCGCATCCTGAAAGAAGTGGCACATTCATGATTAGGGGTTTTTCTACCCGGTGTTGTGGTTGTAATTGATGCTGCAGTGGATGTGGTCACTGGAGGTTCAACTATCCGCATACAGCAGGGTGCGAGGGCTAAGATGAACCTTTTCCTTGGCAGATTTTCAGGGTGCCATGATGCCAGGGTCAGGGTTCGATTTGACTGGGTAAATTTGGGGGTGGGGGACCTGGAAGTGGTCATTTAAACTGGAGTTGTTCAAAAAAGGGCGTAAAAATTTTTGCTAGCTCCTAGCTAGCTGCCCCACTGATATTCAGGTAATTTCGTTATAGCTGTTTTGATTTGTATTCCTCAAAGATCTCTGCTAGATAGCCATCTGATCGCAGATTTTTAACTCAATTTCCGTGATGTTTTTGGCTAGTTGCCCGCGAGAGGTCCGTTTTTGAATTCCTCAAGAGTCTCCGCTAGCTAGTTTTGCAGAGATTTTTTAGGAAATTGCAGGCCTGGACGCGGGCCGGCCCGGGCCGGCCCGACTTTTAGAGGTCAAAACCGGGGTTGGCCAAAAACCTGTCACCAAAGTGGTTTAACACCTTTTCAAGGTACTTAGCTGTTAATACAACGTTAGTGTGTCCTTCTTACAGCTTTTCCGCAAAGAAAATTCAAAGTTTAAATTCACAACGATTTTTAAGGGATAAATATCGATGGAGTTTAGTATAATAAAGTTAAATTCAATAATTTGGGGGTCTAATTAACTATTTTAGTGTATAATTTAATGTTTCATACGTTACTACGATGTACCATTATACTTCTATGAAAAAACCCGGTCCGAATGACTAAAAAATCCAAAAAGCAAAAAGATGGCACCGGGCGGGATCGAACCCGGGTCGATTTCCTGGTAGGGGGTTAAACCAAAAAAAGGTCCAAATTTTTATTGAGGTTATATAACAATGCCCAATAGGCTATTTGCGAGCAAAAAATATGCAAAATAGCACACAATTTCCGTCCAAAAACCTATTTTTTTACTTAGACAAAAATGTCGGGCCGGCCCGGCCCGGCCCGGAAAATCCCAATTTTTCTCGGCCCGGGCCGGCCCGGGCCGGCCCGCCATTTGTCCAGGCCTGGGAAATTGTAGGCCTTCCGCTACGATATATTACTATTCACGTACCGTAAAATGACCGTAAAACTTCAGCTGGCATAGCATTTTATTGGCCTCGGTGCAGTCGCGGTGCTGCTTGAAGTTGTCCATCATTTCTGCAAAACAGGAATAAAAATGATTAGACCATTAGAACTAGGGTAAGACGAATTAAATTTAATGCAAACAAAAATTAAATGGCTTACGGTAGACCAGCTCCCCGGCCAGCAACCCGGCCTTCGTCATGTCGCTGTGCGGGAAGGTGCCGCCCTGGTAGGCTTGGATCTGAGAAACTGTTAAAAACAGGGGTGTTAAAGAAATTTAAATTCTTGTAGACAAGTGGAAACTTTGAACTCGTTGAATTTGGTGTTCATCTCCTGATTCCGCGGAAAAAAGATATTATTCAATTATTAAAACTCCTTACATCCCGATAGAAGGCTCTGGCCTCCTCCCGGACGCCGACGGGCCGTGTCTCCACCTGGGCGAGGTACTAAAATTCAAATGAGATGCTGGGTTCCCGTTGAGTTTGTGTACGCCTTGGTAGGCACTATAAAGTACTAAAAGTACAAAAAGTAAGGTTGAGACAGAATAGAGGCAGAGAATAGAGACAGAGAGAGCGAGAAAGAGAGTTTCAAACGAATGTATTATTCAACGTACCTCATTCACGATCCCTTCGACGCTGTAGGAATTATGGACACCATCCCGAAAAGACACCATCCCGAAAGACACCATCCCGAAAAATTTGCATGCGAAAACTTCATTAGCATAGAAAAATAGCTCCTTTTTCTATAGTAGAGATGACTTTTCGCATGCAAATTTTTCGGGATGGTGTCTTTCGGGATGGTGTCTTTTCGGGATGGTGTCCATCTACCCGCTGTAGGCGCTCGCCCTGGTCTTGAAATATTTCGACCTCTTGTCCCAGCCCAAGCCTTCGAAGCTCTCCGCCAAGTAGTCAATATATTAGGTTGTACAAAAAGTCCTGGCGGTTTTGGGTTTGGATCGCTTTTTCAAGAACGGTTTCGATATCAAGGTTAATTGTTATGTCGTTTGAAAGTACTTATTGTGCTCTACAGCATGGTTACAGTAACTTTGCCAGATTACATTTTATTTTCTTGTTTTCTTCAAAACTTTGTTGAAAGACGGCGTAGAACCGTGATCAAGATAGCATTCGACTGAGCTCACGAAGCACTACAAAACGTATCGTAAAAGTTCCGGTTTAAAAATTATTCCGTTTAGATACGACCGAGTAAAATGTAGTCAGTTTTTGAGCTTTTTTGGCTCCCCAGATCACTTTTCAACCTAATCAGCCATAAAAAGCGCTCGAGATTTTTTATAAGTCCTTGGTGCACAATTGGTAGTTGTTGACAGTCAATTTCCAATGCCTACAACCGTACAAAATTATTTTCCCGAAATTCGGAAAGAGCCGTCATTTGGGCACCGACGAAATTTTACGCTGTTGTATCTCAACGGAATAATTTTTGAACCGGAATTTTTCCAATACGTTTTGTAGTGCTTCGTGAGCTCAGTCGAATGCTATCTTGATCACGGTTCTACGCCACCTGTCAACAAAGTTTTGAAGGAAACAAGAAAATAGGGCAATTTTGGTCTCAACTTTCGGACCTTCTAAAAAACTGAAAAAACGTAATATGACAAAGTTACTGTAACCGTTCTGTGGAGCACGATGAGTACTTTCAAACGCCATATTACAATTAACCCTGATATCGAAAACGTTCTTGAAAAAGCGATCCAAACCCAAAACCGCCAGGACTTTTTGTACAACCTAATACTAAAAGGCGCAATTAGCAGGTAAAAAGAAAACAATGGAATACCGTCAATAAAAAATAGCAATAAATCAATAAAAACAAATTTTTTCAACGTTCACCGTACTTTTGGGTAAACCGTATAGGTCGGGCAGGCTTTCTTGAACGCCTCGCTATTTAGCGGACAGTCCGCCCAGTTCGGGGCCAGCATCTGAAAATCTAGCATTTCTTAAAGGTACCAGAAAATGTGATAATCGACCCCTTCCATCGACCCGGGCGCGACAGCTACGAGATACTCCAAATCACGCTTGAAAAGTAAAAACTGGTCATTTGGTACGCGAGGTAACTGGCGAGGCCTAGTGAACCCAGTGGGACGGTTCTTGCTTGTTCTGGTCGTTTTAAAGGGACGGGCAAGGCAGAAATATGGATTATTGGTCGGTTGTAGAGTCCGCTGTTCCATCGCGTAATCGATTAAACCAATCCACTGGGTTCCACTCGCGTCAGAATCCATAAACTCCACAGCCAAAATTCCAAAGTCTTGCCTTGCCCCGTCCCTTTAAAGCCTGCCCGTCCTGTCTACCGTATTCCCCTTGAAGTTCTCGGTGAACACCGGGATCGGGAACGGGATTTTCCGCCCCGAATCGCTGTACATTCCCTGGCCGACGGCGACGGGTGAAATTTCGGAAATAGGGTATGAAAATAACTCCAGCCTTGAAAGGTACAGTAACAGGAAAGTTTGCTTAAAAATCTCTGCTACTCTGCGTTGATTTTTGTGAATCATTGGTCAAAAGGTTTACCTGTAGCCAAGCAGCGCTCAACGGCCACCGAGCGGAATTTGAGCTGAAAAACGTTCCTGATGAAAGATTTTTCGCTCTCACTGTCTCTCACCCACTCTCTCTCTCTCTCTCCCTCTTTCTCCTACCTGCTTGACGTTCCAGGTGCGGTTTAAGAAACCAGGGTCCTTGTAGCGACGCTCAAACTGTTGGCCCAACTTGTAGCTGTTGTCGATGCCTTCCCGAAGAAATTTATACGTTTTAGAGTGAGAGAGAAGAGAAAGAGAGCGAGAGAGAGAGAGAGAGAGAGAACGATAGAGAAATCGAGGTCTCTACCTCCGTCATTTGCCCAGTGCCGTACTGGAAGTACGACAGCAGCGTTGTAGTAGTAAATGCATATGCCGTGCATTTATAGCCGCGGACGGTCTGCCTCAACATCTTTATTAGGAGCACGTGATGGGTTTCGTGATCCGTCGCAAGAGTAATTTGCATAAACATGAGCGCGGACGCGCCCGCGCAATGCGTTGCGGCGGCCGCTCCATATGGTAAACTGTCATTGGGACAAGGCTTTACGGGTCAGCCATGGGTGCCCGGGCTAGAGGAATATTAAGGCTTTGAGGGCACCCATGACAGCGTGTTATTCGATAGGCGATCCGGGGCCCGATTGCCGTGTCGCCATAACTAAAATTTTTGTTTATTTCAGCGCGTATATCTCTAGCATAGACAGGTTAAAGCCTAAGGGGTCTAGGAGCGCTTCTCCCCTTGCCCTACTAGGTCTAGACGGCCACGCGACCGAATGCCATTTGGAGCGTCGCGTACCAATGTTACCAGGTAACTCACAGCATTGACAAAAATCAGCTGATCCGGCGCCTTTTGCTGGGGCTCCTCGGTCTCATGTGTGACGAGCAATTCGATGGGGGAGCATTGGGAATATTGAGAGAGGAGCAAGACGGAGAGGAGCAACAGCCACATCTGAAGGGCCGAGGTAGGAAATTACCTTAAAATTAACATGTAGTATCGATTAGACCGGAGAGGGAAAGCGAGAGAGCGAGGGAGAGCGATGGAGCGAGAGAGAGAGGGAGAGGGAGAGAGAGAGACAGAGCGAGAGAGAGAGACGGATAATAGCTTCGCGAGTTGGATGTTGATTCCGAATCCAGAGAAATATTTGCTTTGCGGATCAACACGACGCGTTTGTCTTGTTTTGACACGACTTGAGCGAAGGGAAAGAGACAGAGAGAGAGAGAGAGAGAGAGAGAGAGAGAAGGGAGAGCGTGAGTTAGAAAGAATCAGAGCGATAATTAAAATAGTTGAATAAATGCTATTTCTACTAATATAGGCGCAGCCCGTCCGCAAAACCGAAATAAGTAAAACCACCGCGCCCTCGCCTGCGACTTTGAGGGGCTGGCGTGGGATTTATGGGGTTGAGTATTTGATTGATAGGCTAGATCGACGTTGAACTTTCGCTTTCTCTCTATCTCACTCTCTATCTCTTCCCGGCATATGATCCACCCGATCCGATCATAAGGATCTTATCCCCCCCTTGATCAGCCGTAAAACCCATCAAATTTTTCGTGGACAAAAGGAACAGGGGAATTGGTCGATTTTTATAGATTAAACCGACTGGAGGTTGTATAATGGACATTAAAAATCCTAAGCATGTTTTAGAAACGTTTTGGAAAGCGGAGTCTCGCTTGGCAGGCTGCCAATTACCAACTGGAATCGCAAAAAGGTCCTAATAGCCAGATGAAGGTTTCATTTTTGTGCGAGAAGAGAGAGAGCGAGAGAGAGAGAGAGAGAGATAGCGAGAGACAGCGAGAGAAAGATAGTGAGGCGGGGAGCCGAATTAAAACTTTCGGAAACCGGCCCCCTCATAATCGCTGCGGCACCCGGAATACGTGATTCATTTCCAATTTTTCCGCCGTCTTTTCACGCCCAATCATCAAAATTTCTCCAAGAAAATGTTTTGTTTGTTTGTATTTGTGTATTTGGGCCAGGCCTTGACAACGGGCCAGGCCGCGAGGCCGGGCCCGGGCCTGGAATTGGAGGTCGGGGCCGGGCCGGGCCGGGCCCGCTAGGCCCGGATCAGTCCTGGACGATGATTTTCGGAGAAAATTTTTCGAATTTTGAACCAAAAAAAAAACGATTTTTTTCGACTTCGTTCACCTTTTTTAATTTTTTTTTCGTTAATTTGTGTTTTCGTTAGAAAAAATCAATACGTGACCGTATCCGGGCAATTGACATTCCTGGTTTGTAGTTTTTTTAGAAGCTCTAGAAGGTTTATAAGCCGGAATTAGTTTGCTTTTGGCCTGAATGGACTAGCAGGAACTGTTAGGATGGTTTACAACCTGGTTTAGGGTATTTTCAGGATCAGCTTTATAGATCTTAGCCGAAAAACGGCCAACCGCGAAAAACAACGAACAAAAATTGTCGGTAGTTGACCTTACTATTGGCCGGCAACGAAACATTTGTAAATAGTTTTCAGAAAGTTTGTAAGGTTTTTCTATGTAGAATTAGTTAAAAACTGTTTGGAAAGTATTGCTTCGATTTATATCCAAAAACCCCTTTATAGGCCAAAAAAATTTGACCGGTCCGCCCTGGCCTTATTTAGTACCGGGCCGACCAGGCCCGGCCCGGCCCGGGCTCGGGCCTGAAATTCTGGATTTGGCCCGGCCCGGCCCGGCCCGTTGTCAAGGCCTGATTTGGGCCAATAGCGTTCCAGAGAACCGAAAATGGTGATTTTGAAGATTTTTAGGACAAATCTGTATTGTGGAATTTGCCAAATGTAGTAAAATGTCAGTATTTTGCTCGTATGCGTTGCGTTAATAATTTAATCTAATATTTTAATGCATGTATTCAACCATAAATAATGAATTTACAATTTCGAAAACGGGCACCTTCGATTTGGTTAAAATGGCCATGGCGCTCTTGGCGACGTCGTCGGTGAAGAGCTGTGACTGGTTCCAGGTTGCCTGAATTGTGATTTACCATCGATAACCCTAATTTTACTGGTTAAAATGGCTTGAAACAATGCCCAGAAATTTGAGAAATTTAATGACATTCCTTCCAACTCACCACATACTCCAACGAGTCGGCCGTCGTGTGCTCGCGGCTGTAGTTGAGGTTGATTTTCGTGCCCTGCACGGCCACCGGGCTTTTTTCCGCAATGGTCTTTGCCAGTTTCAGCGCCTCAATTTTTTTAATTTTTTAGGTAAGAACCACGCTTTTTTACCTGCTCCAGCGTCTCCTCCCTCGAGCCATAGACACCGCTCATCAGTACTGTAACAGTGCCGTATTTTTGTTTATGAAATTGAGGTTTTTTAAGGATTTTTTCCTTAAGGAAAAATTACAATTCCGCTGTGCTTCTTCAGCGCCAAAATTTCGCCCCGTGAATGCCAAGTCGCGGAGCCAACTCTAAAAAGAAATTTTAGTTACATCAAGGCAGAAAACCCGGTAATTTCTTGCGCTTTTTATGAGTTTTACGGGAATCTGAAGCATTTCTACGCGTTAAAATATCTTGGAAACACATTTTCTTTATCTGAATGCGAAAAAATAGCTTTTCTTACATGGAACATCACTAGATTTTTGCAGTTCTAGGCTGATTTGTGGATCTCGCCACGAATTTTAAATGAAATTACGCCTTAAAGCTTCAATCTAACGAGTTAGAACGCCGCAAAATTATTTTTCTGACTCACGTCATTCCCGCAAACTTTTCCAATGCGATTCAGCGTGCCAACGTCGGCCACAATTCCGACATCCACTTCCTAAAGCCATTTCCGGTGTTTAATAGTTTAATTTACGGAATATTACGAAAAAAAATCGAGTATTACATACCTTAATGCTGAACTGCGTCTCCTTGCTGGCCAGTCGAATGTCACACGCCGTGATCAAGTCCACGCCAGCTCCGAGGCAATACCCATGTGTCGCCACGATCACCGGTTTCGGGCACTAAAATTCGAGTCATTTTTAAATAACGTGCCTACCTTACCTCGTTAATGTTCGTGAAACACTTCTGGATGAAGCGGATCTTGCGGCCGAGCAAAAAGGAGCGCCTCGCTTGATCACTGCCAGAGTCGTCGCCAAGGTCCGTGATGATGTCGTTGTCTGGATTTCAGTTTAATTTTTAGTTAAGGGATTATACCTTTTAAGTCCAGTCCTACTGAAAAGGCTTTTCCGTTTCCGCCAAAAACGACGTCGACGGCCAGCTTCTCGAAGCAATCATCGATTTCGCTAAATCTGAGGACATCCTACAAAAATTTAGTTAGGATTTTTAGACAGAGTCCGTTCCTACATGCAATTTTTATACTTATTTCCCTACCGCCATAACTCAAAATTCATCGCGTTCAGCCGATTCGCCCGGTTCAGCTGTATAAGCACCACGAAACCGGCCCCCTTGTCGACTTTCAGCGTGTTGTAGCTGTACATTTTTGAGCTGAAAAATTCGTCTACTGACGTTTTTGAGGTAGATTACAGCCAGGTGTAGCGTTGGGCCTCAAACTGCGTCAAAATAAAGCTAAAAAACCCGAAGCCGCGGGGGTTTTCCCGAGCGAGAAAATATCCCTCTATCATTTCCCTTGAACGGCTGATTGATAACGGAGTAGACTACGAAAACGGCGGGGTTTACATACTACAAGTGCGCAAGGCAGCAAAGAGCGTAGTTTCAGCCTTTTTGCCGTGTTCCCAAACGATCTCTGCTAGATTGTCCTCTATGTGGATGGACATGTTTTAAATAGTACGCGAAAAGAGCGTGGATTCGAGCTTTCTAGTCAATTCCCAAATTGTCCCTGCTGGATTGCTTTTCTTTTAAGTTTTCTAGCCTAGAATTACAAGCGTGCAGGTCTCTGGGCCGTTCCCAAGCGATTTTTGCTAAATTGCCTTGTTTGTAGGTGGAAAAGCCTAGAGTTATAGGCCCGCCAGATCGTTCAGATGATTCTCAAACGATCTCCGCTCCGCTGCCTTCAGCCAGCCATTTTCTTTTACAAAAAACTCATTAAATACCGATAATTTAGCGATAGGCGCAATTAAACCCTAAAAGTTTGCTCTAACCTCCAAAAAACATTGTATTTTGCGTGAACTCTGCTCGTTGACCTCGTCGAATCACGTACGCTACGCAAGACGCCGCTGCGCTTGACGTCAACGCGTGGCAGGTAAGTTGGCTTGGCTAGAACATGCCTGAAACGTACCTAAAAACCCTTCGGGCTTGTTCGCAAAAGTTCATTGCAACTTGTTGTAAGTAAGACCAGTAAAAATGCTTTATCATCACCGTCACCCATCGATAAAAGACCGGATTCTCTCAACAGCCAAGGAAAAAAAAGAAGGAAACGAACAGCAACTTACTAAAGCAACCAACGACACCAGGGTATACTCGGAAATTAAGGGCAAACAAACTAAAATTTCCACCAAGCGCTGGGCATTTATAACATTACTACAAAGACAACGAGGAGAAAATAACGATATGATGTGGGGAAGGGGAATAAATTTATGTACATTAAGCCGGCCGGGGAACCGAAAAGGGGTAGAAAGTGGGTAGGGGCAGTGAAACTTCGGCACATTCTAGAAAAATTGGGGAATTTTACAAAACAAAAAGAGGAAGTGCGAATGTGTCATGCGCGAGGGCCCTGAGAATGGGAGAAGAGAGAGGGGGAGGAAGGACGGAAGGAAAAGGAAATAAGGCCACAAATTTTATTGTTGCAAAATTCCGTTGACCCGATAAATGTGTGTTTGTTCGGTTTTTTTGGGGTTGAGCCTAGATGGACGGGCGGGCGGCCTCGATGTCGATTTCGGCGGAGCGCTGCGCGGAGGAGGACTTCGAGTTCTGAAAATGAAAGATGAGTAAACGATTTCTAGAATCATGCTTTTTAAAAATCAAGTAAAAACGGTGAGCGACACATTTTCTAATAAAAGTGCTATGATCGGTGGATTTTCGAACTAAAACGCTAAATCAGAAAATGCAGAAAAACAGCCTTAAAAATGTTTAAAAACCAAAAAGTCCTGAATCTAGAAACTTCATTTTTAATCCATTTTCAGAAGGTCTACGACTGAAAAAATATGTTGAAATGTTTTTCGATTCAAACTACAGCCTACAGCAATCTAAAAATTCAGAAAAAATTGAAAACGGGTCCCTTTGAGTTCTTAAATTAGAAAAGTTATCTTTTATCCATTTATGGAGCCTTCGAAATTAAAGAAAACCGGTAAAAACTTGAAATTTCCTGTGCGCACAGTGAATTTTCAGAATCAATTTTTGACACCAAAATACAAAACCACAGCACGCTAAAAAAGGCGCAAAGGATTAATCGATTTTCAGTGGGTTTTTAGGACTAAAAACCCGGGAAAAATTTTGATATTTGCTGCGCGAGCTGTATATTTGGATAGTAAGGCCTTTAGCTTCAAACTACAGACTACAGCGCATTAAAAATAATTTTCGTAAACTTTTCGGGATCGAAAACTAGATTTTCGAATACAAAAAAGTGAGAAAAGAATTGTGTTAAAAGCACCACGTAAGCCCCAAACACACCTCAAAAGGCTTTCCCGAGTAGAGCATGTGGGTGAGGAAGTCGGACAGCGAGACGCACGCCGTCGGCTCGCCGCGCTCGTTGACGATGAACAGACGGCGGGTGTGCCGGCAGTTGAGCATGTTGTCGAGGCACTAAATGAAAATTTATCAGAATCAAAATAAACGATACCTCAGACACACGCGTCGTCTCCTGGGCGAAGAACGGCTGCGGACGGGGTGGCAGTATGTCCTTGACGGTCGAGCCGGAGATGAAGCTCTAAAAACAACTTTTTGAGAGAGCTGCTTTTTTCGAAAGTTTCGTTCATTCGATAAAGAGTTGAATTCTGCCCAATCCTCGGTGGTTTGTTTTTGCGTTTTTGGATATCCCGGATTCTATAAAATGAAAACCGACGCCGCGGAGGCTCCTAAAATACTATTTTTGATTTTAAAAATCGAGTTTAGTCATTTTGCAAAAAAAAACGCACTACCAAAAATTGTTCAGAATAAAATCCTCTATCGAATGAGAACCAAGAATTCCCTAGTAGGACTAGTATCCAAAAAACCTTCGGATCCTCTTGGCCGTAGATGCTCATGGCAATGTCGGCCTTGTGCAGCACGTCGACAGCCACGCCGTCCTTGTCGACGACCGGCAACGAGGAGACGCGGAAGCCGAGCAGCATCTCCACGGCCTTCGATAGATCGTCGTCCATCGAGACCTGAAACACGAAATTGTATGAAAATTGGCGCTATGAATTCCGACCATCTCGCCGAAAACCATCTTGCCGAAAACCACTTCGCCGAAAACCATTTCGCCGAAAACCATCTCGCCGAAAACCATCTTGCCGAAAATCATCTCGCCGAAAACCATTTCGCCGAAAACCATCTCGCCGAAAACCATTTCGCCGAAAACGAACTCGCCGAAAATCTAATTTTGCATGCAAATTTTTTCGCGTAGTTGCGGTCATACCCCAGGTCACAAAAAAAGTAAAGAAAGATGCTTTTTTTCAGTGTCTCTGTGCCCGGACACTTCCCCCTATGATTTGAGGCCAAAAACCGATTAGCTCAGTCATGATCAGTGTTTTTTCCAGTATTAGACCAAAATGGAACAAGCCTGAAAAAAATTTGCATACAAAATTAGATTTTCGGCGAGATGGTTTTCGGCGAGATGGTCTTCGGCGAAATGGTTTTCGGCGAGATGGTTTTCGGCGAAATGGTTTTCGGCGAAGTGGTTTTCGGCAAGATGGTTTTCGGCGAGATGGTTTTCGGCGAAATGGTTTTTCGGCGAAATGGTTTTCGGCGAGATGGTTTTTCGGCGAGATGGTTTTCGGCGAACTGGTCCGATACCGGGCGAAGGGCAGCGACCGGTTCTGAAAAAACGTCTTTTTTTTTCTTTTTCCAAGCGAAACAAAACCTAAAAAACTCCGGTGCTTGTACAATACCGGGGGGGGGCATTTTAAATGTCCAGAAATGCCTATTAATGAGATAACAACTATTTTAACAGTATTACTCATAAAATTTAACCATATTTAAGTGGCAAAAACATTCAGAAACTTAGAAAAATGCTTAAAATTTCAAATACCGGGCGGAAAAGTGGTGTTTATGTACATTCAATAAATTTTTTGAATGTTTTTACGTTTAAAAAGTGGTCACGAAATTCTCTATATTTATCGTAAAAAAATGATGCGCACCGATATTGCCAAAGAACCAAAACTAGATTTACCTGTCTATGTATAGCCTGCAAGGCGCGCTTGATCGTCAGTAGGTAGTGAACGTCTCCCGTCTGCGGGTCGCCGATGATGAGCCGATGCACCTTGTTGGCCGTGAACTCCTCGCGGGCGTTGAATATTTGCAAAAATACTTTAGTAAAAGTTTTTTAAAGCTTTTAAAAGTTTTTCAAAGTCAGTCATACATATATTAAAAGCTACATTCACCTTGGTGTCCGAATTGAGCGCGACCAGCTGGTTGCCCGACAAGATCGTCGCCACCGGAGAGTCCATAGCGCCGACGGCGTCAGCGCGCTGGACGTGGTGCAAAAAGTCGCTGAGCGTCACGATTGAGGTCAACTACAGAAAATATTCATGAATTTAAAATTTGCTTTACCGCTCCCTTCTCCCGGTCCCACACCAAAATCGCGCCCACTTGGCTGTCGCACATCGCCTCGAAGGCCTTGATCACCTAAAAAACTTCATTTGAATGATAAAAACCGGCTAAAAAAGGTAAAAAGGGAAAAATCTATATAAACTTACAGATAATTGCGTGTCGACGATGATCACCTCATTCTTGTGCGGCGCCAACTCGTAGCAGTCGACGACCTTCATGTATTGGCGGTAGGGGACGTGCATCGTGTCTAAATTTGAGCAATAAAGCTAAAGACGGAAGCTGAAACTCACCGACAAGCCCCACGACATCGACGCTCAACGGTCGAGACGTTTTGCGCAAAATCAGGAAATCCTGAAAAACACATTTACTGAAAAATCGATAGCGACTCGATACTCGACTGTAAGCGAGGACGGGAGTCACCTTTTTTCTTAGGGTCAATTTTTTAAATATAAATAACGGAAAGTGTTTCTAAGCTATTTTTACTAGCCCTAAACGCAAAAACCATACACATTTTTATTAAAAAAACACCATAAATATCGATTTTTCGACGAAAAATGGCAGTTTTGGCCAAAATTTCGACTGAATTTTTTTTTGTAAAGTTCCGCGATCGTTTTTGTAGTTAAAATGGCTATATTGTACTAGAAACACGAATAAAATACTCCTATGTCGCGACTAGACTTAAGTTTAGTTTTAATTTTCTATCAATTTTCAATCAACCGATTTTCTAACAATTTTCTATAGTTAAAGACGACATAATACGCCGTTATGTGTATAGACGATACGCCAAGGTGATCCCCCTCCCCCCGGCTAACAGTCCAGTACCAAAAACCGTACCGAGCTATTGCTGCGTGGCCGCCGAAAAGCCCGGTCATCATCGTAGAGATCCGACGTCTCCGCGTCCTCATCGTGGTCCTCGCGCAAGTCGTACACCGAGTCGAGCTTGCAACCGGCGATCTAAACCTTCATCGAGACCTGAAACACGAAATTGTATGAAAATTGGCGCTATAAAATACCTTGTGGATGTCGTTGCTCCACTCGCCGATGCCCGTCTCCTTGATCGGGTAGCCGAGCCATTGGGCGAAGGGCAGCGAGCGGTTCTGAAAACAAACGTCTTTTTTTTTGTTCAAACAAAGCAAAGTTTTTGTTCAAACAAAAAAATTCCTACAATAGCTCCGACCAGCACCATTTTCAAAAAGAGGCAAAATTGAAAAAGTCAAGGTTTTCGGAGCACAGGTCCTTTTCTGGCTTTCCACGGGCCGTAAGCCGGTCTTTAAACTCTCTAGTACTTTTTTACTCTTTTTCTAAATCTCTTCGTGACCTTCTTGTTACGTCCGTTCATCCCTTCCAGACGAATTCAAAAGTTTGGCGGGTTGATATAGAAATTCCAAATTATGGCATCCCCGGGCTCTTTATTGCGTTACATCGCTTTAGTTGGAATCCCCTGTCCTTTTCCCCCTGTTTCTTGCCCCTGTACGTCGCGCAACTCGTTGCGCCCGTACCCGGTCCTCTCTCTTCCCGCCGACGCACTAAATTCTAGTGGGCCTGGTTTGTCGTCTCGCTTTTTCCTGTCTTCCACCCCGTCTACCTTCTCCCTCTCGCTCTTCCCTTTTTCGTGACTTTCTCTCCCCCCTCTTTTCCTCCCTCGTCTTCCCGGCTTTTATTCTAACGTTCCCCGTCTCTTCGTTTTATGTTTCACCCAGACATGGCAAATCGGCCGGCCGATCGGCTTTTTCGGCCGAAAAAATTAGAATGCGGCCGGCCGAAATCGGCCGGCCGCCATTTCCGGTCGGCCGCGGCCGCGGCCAAATCGGCCGGCCGAAATGTCGGCCGGCCGCGCGGCCCGGAAACGGCCGAAAACCCGCAACCAAATTAGATTTTTGGATGCTAATGAAGGGATTTATTTGGCCAAAAATGTTTAGACCGAATAAATTAGTTAAGTAATGGGGTTGTCACGGTCTAGGGTTAGACGCGATTACAACGGATTTGACGTGGCTGTTGCTTTGCTTTATCATCACTAATTGCTTGATCGCCAGCAAAACGATTCAATTAAAAAAACGATTCAGGAAACCAAAGGCCCACTCGTCATACAAACATCCTGACTAAATTTTTGCGTTACTTGAAACTACAAAATTGAATTATATTTGAAGCTGGCAACCTTCCAAAAAAAATTCAGGGTTGACATAAAAAGCACGCTTTCCCCACATAAAATAAAGATTTTTAAATAAAATTTGGTAGGCAGGCATCCTAGGGAATAGCGAAAACCAATGCCCAAACCCATTCCTTATTTATTCAAAATTTAGAGGCTCCAGCGACACGTTTCTGTGAAACTTTTTCTCAAGTGTGAATTGTCGGCCGGCCGACGCGGCCGCGGCCGAGCCGACCAAAAAAGTCGGCCGGCCGATCGGCCGACCGGAAGTCATTTGCATAAAGTCGGCGGCCCGGAAACGGCCGATTTTTTTATGCTAATGCGGCCGTCGGCCGGCCGACCGAAATTGCCATGTCTGGTTTCACCCACGTTAACTTCGGTTTTCGTGTTCTCCCGTTTTTCCCGATTTTCTTTTGTCTTTCGTCTCCCCACACGCTGACTTCGGTCGCCGTGTTTTTAGCCTTCGACTTTTGTATTCCCACCCCGCTTATTAACCCTGTTCGCGCTTTTGGTAGGAGGTGGTAGGTAGATCAAGTTGGGGGGGGGCACTTTGGTTTTCGATTTTTTGAGTCTTTCTAGGCTAGTTTTTTTGTGCTGGTTTCGAATATAACAAAATCAGAGTAGTAAAATACACTTATCTAAACGTTTGTTAAGATTTAGAGATGCAGACACCCGGTATTAACCTAAAAATAAGGCTTCGTGCCACCCGGGGCCTAGTCGCTTCGGATGGGTGCGAGCTCGTACAGGGTTTCGAAATCGGGGCGCCCGAGGCGCGCGAAGCGGCCAGGCGCCCCTCTTTCTTTTTCATGTAATGTGCTTTTACCTGCTGATATTTTCCATGAAGTGCTGGACAGTAAGGATGGCTTTCGTGAAGGGCCAATTTTTAGTAATTATTTCGCGATCGGCTTGTTTCGTCCATGCGATTATATCTTGTCCTTCGTAGTCTTCCTTCGGGTTTCGTTCCTTCCACTAGCCGCGATCAGCAACTTTTTGAAGAAGAGGAGGTGAAAAAGCCACGGTTTTTCGGATCGGAGACCGCTCATATCTGCTTTTTTTCATGGCCCCCTAGGGTGGTCTCTAAAGTCACAAGTCTCTCTTCCGAGCATCTGTATTTTTAAATGTCTTCGGTAGCCTGCTGTTACGGCCATTCTTCCCTTCCAGATGAATTCAATACTTTTTGGACCCCAGACCCAATTTAATGACTCAAAATTTATCATGTTCTCCAACGCGTTCTGATCCTTCCATTTGTCAGACAATACTTATCTTTCTTTTTTTCAGGTCCATCGTGAACCATGTCGGACAACGAGGACCGCGAACACGACGAGACGCTGGAAGGTATAAATTTTAAGAAATTTGTTTATGACCAAGCGCGGGGTTGGTTGGTCGAGGTTGAGGCGTCGGCGTGTCCGTCCCATTATCCGAACACCCAGCCCCAAATGGGGGGATACTGGATGGAAAGGGGGGGGGGGAGGGTGAAGGACGGCGGAACGATATTCCACAGTTGCTTCACCCGTCCCACCACGGCGGAGTGACCCGCCGTGAGGGCCATCTCCGTCCGCGCCCCGGAAAGTAAATACCACGTTTGAGCGTCGGTTGTGGGTTTTTGGGTGCTGCCTTTTCCGGGATTTTTACGTTTCCTGGCGACCTTTTTGGGGGGTTTAAAGGGGCTGGGAACTGGAAAAATTTTCGCCTCGGATTTGTTCTGGCTCCGGCCAAAGATTTTTTGACTACCATTTGGCGGTTGATAGTAATCAAATTATGGCATCCCCGGTCCCTTTATTGCGCTACATCCCTGTCCCTAAATATTTTAGTCCTTTTCTATTACTTTTTTTTCAGAAGAGACGATGGAGGACGATTCGATCGTCGCCGACGACGGTGAAGAAGGAGAGGACCAAGACCACGAAGAAGTCACCGAGGCCGAGCTCTCCACCGCCGGTACGTTTGGGATTTTCTTTGTCTCCTTGGAGCTAACTTATGTGAAGTGGTCTCGAGGCTGTCGGAGAATTTCTGTCGAATGTGCTTAATACGAATATCCTGGGCTGGTTATTTGTGCTGAATTCGAAATTGGCAGTCTTGGAGAGCAAAATCATCGTTGACGAGTCACAAAAATTCCAAAGTTGTAGTCTGTAGCTTTTTGTACTTTGTAGTCTAAATTCAAATTTTTGAGCGAGACACCCTGCCAAATTCCAACTCTTCACGGAAAACTAGCCATGGATTCGTTTTTACGCTCATCGAGTGCCCCCGGGCGCAAAAATATCTTTTGAGGCCTTTGGAGCCACTAAACATAACTAGCTCCGCGTAATTTATCCTGATTGCCTCACTAATGTTTTATTTTAGGCTCGTCAAAGTCCAAGTCGAAGAAGAAGGGCGGCAAGGGCAAGAAGGGCAAAAAGGGCAAGAAGAACATCGACAGCGGCGCCCCCAACCCGGCCACCGCCTCCTCAGACGAGATCGCCGAGTACCACGGCTTCACCAACGAGGATCTCGAATACAGCAACGAAGACTTTGCCACCATCACCTCGCTGCGGGTGTGTTTTCTTATTTTTGGTTCATTTACAGTATTTTAACATTACAAATATGACTTTTATAATGTTTTCTTTTAGGCGTGGACGACCACCTTCCACCCGCGCCTCATGGAGATCAACCCGGGCGTCAACGCGACGAAGCTGCTGCCACTTCTCAACGCCAAGTACCGCGAATTCCAGGTAAAAGTTTTTGTGCGATTTCAAACCGTTTTTAGGAAGAAGCACTCAATTCGGGCAAGGCGCCGGCCAAGAAGGTGATTGGCAAATCTGCCGCGGTCGCCACGCCAGTTGCTGAAAAGACTGAGAAGATCACCAACGAGGATCTCGCATACAGCGACGAAAACTTTGCCACCATCACCACCCTGCGGGTGTGTTTTCTTATTTTTAGTTCATTATTTTGTTCTTATTTGAAACCGTTTTTAGGAAAGCGTCGAAAACATAGAAGCGATCCCGACCCCGAGGGTGCCACCCCTAAAACTGCCCCCGCTCTCTATCTACTACAAGGCCGAGAAGGCCGCCGCCGACCGGAAGAAGCGCAAAGAGGAGGGCATGGTACATTATTGAGGGGTGGCTTTTTGATTATGTGAACTTTCAGCTGGAAGAGGAGCACCAAGATTACTGTGAAGCGTGCCAGAAGGGCGGTGAGGTGCTGCTCTGCGACACGTGCCCGAAGGTCTACCACATGGTGTGCGTCGACCCGGACATGGAGGAAGCCCCCGAAGGTAACTTTTGGGCGTTTGGTGAAATAGAGGAAATTTACTTCTTTGAAAAACAGAAATTATAAATATTCAAAATTCATTGGTTGAAGTTTGCCAAAATGCGCTGTCGCTGCGCCAAAATTTCAAACATGCTTTAATTTAATTTGAAGGTATGTGATGTTTTTACCAAATGTGGTTATTTTTTAAATCTAAAAACTATCTAAACAGCCTCAAAAAATTTAAAAATTCCAAAATTCTTAGACGGTGACCATTTGGCTGAAAAACCTATATTTTGTATTTTTTTAATAGAACTTTGTTGTTTTTACCTTGTGCATAGTCAAATAGAACTTAGAAAATTTAGTTAGTTTGATTGGTTCTGGGGATGTTGCTTGTGCTTAATTAATTTTTTGTTTTCAGGGAGGTGGAGCTGCCCCCAGTGTGAAGAAAATGAGCAAAGCATCGAGGATGATGATGAGGACGCAGGACGCCCAGAAGCCGAGCGCGTGCTCTCCTGGCGGTGGATACAAATCCACCCGGAGCCGGAAGCCCGCCCGGCTGACGCCGACCCTACCGAGCCACGCCCGCCTCGCAAGATGGAGCCCCGTCGCGAGCGGGAATTCTTCATCAAGTGGAAGTACATGTCGTACTGGCACTGCGAGTGGGTCAACGAGTCGGTGCTCGACGTCTGGTACCCGCACGTGCTGCGAATGTACTGGCGGAAGGCCGACCCGGAAGTGCCGCCCGAGGTCGACGACGGATCGACCGAGGACATGGACACCGGCCGCATCGACAACAAGGAGAAGGAGAAGAACCCGCACAACCTCGAGGAGAAATACTACCGATATGGGATTAAGCCCGAGTGGATGCAGGTACTGCTCTTTACGCGAGTTCTTTCTTGCGGGGTGGGGGCCTAGTAGCTTCTCAAGTTACTAGGCCCCCGCCCCGCTTTTTTATTTTTAATTCTAATTGGTCTAGTGGTGTTTTTACCAAATTTAGCTGTTTTTCAGCGGCCATATTGATTGAAAAATCTATATTTTGTATTTTTTTTAATAGAAATTTGTTTTTTTTTCGTTGGGGAATAGTACAAAACTGTTTCGAAACATTTTATTGACTTATATATTAGTAGAATTTACCTGCTTTATTTTAATTATTTTTTACTTTCAGGTCCACCGGGTAATCAATCACCAAGAATACAGCAAGACCCAATTCGGCTACCTGGTCAAGTGGAAGGAGCGCGTCTACGGGCAGGCCACGTGGGAACGCGACGACATGGACATTCCACTCTACGAAGACGCCATCCTCAAGTACTGGAGCCACCGCGAGAAGATGGTCGGCGACACACCGCCCAAGCACATCCGCAAGCTCATCGAGAAGAAGCGCGAGGCCAAGGGCCTGCCGGCCACCGACGACGAGCCGAGCACCAGCGACCGCAAGAAGGATAAAAAGAAGCAGGACAAGTCGGGCGGCGTCGTCAAGTACGAGGTCCAGCCCGACTACCTCGACGAAACCGGCGGCAAGCTGCACCCATACCAGCTGGAAGGTCCGTTTTTTTATTTTCAGACTTTTTTTTTACACTTGTATAAAACTTTTCTTTTCAGGCTTGAACTGGCTGCGCCACAGCTGGTCGAACGGGACCGACACGATCTTGGCTGATGAGATGGGTCTCGGAAAGACCGTGCAGAGCTCGACGTTCCTCTACACGCTCCTGAAGGAAGGACATTCGAAGGGCCCGTTCCTGGTGAGGCTTTGAAAATATATTTTTTTCTGGTTTTTACTGTCTTACAATTTTTTTGTTTTTAGATCGCCGCGCCCCTCTCCACGATCATCAACTGGGAGCGCGAGATGGAGTTCTGGTGCCCCGACTTCTACGTCGTCACCTACGTCGGCGACAAGGACTCGCGCGAGGTCATCCGCGAGCACGAGTTCCCGTTCCTCGAGGGCGCCGTCAAAAGTGGAGCCAAGGCGAGCCGGCTGAAGACCGAACAAGGCATCAAGTTCCACGTGCTCCTCACCTCCTACGAGCTGATCAACGTCGACAAGGTGAGATTTTGGCTAAAAAATCTTCAGAGTTCTTGAAATTGGGCGCGAAAAATTCTGCCAGATCAGGCGTAAAAACACGCTTTTTCGGTAATTTTATATTTCACATTTTTAACTACTACAAAAACGAGAATTTTAAAAAGTGGACTCTGTCACGTTTTTTTGCCGCGCAACTGCCCAACAACTTTATTTTTTATTTTTAGGCAATCCTCTCTTCGATCGAATGGAAGGCTCTCGTCGTCGACGAAGCTCATCGCCTCAAGAACAACCAGTCACTCTTCTTCCGCACGCTGCGCGACTTCAAGATCGACTACCGCCTGCTGCTCACCGGCACGCCGTTGCAGAACAACCTCGAAGAGCTCTTCCATCTGCTCAACTTCCTGGCCTACAAGCGCTTCAACAACCTCGAGGCGTTCACCCAAGAATTCGCCGAGATCTCGAAGGAGGACCAGATCCAGAAGCTCCACTCCCTGCTCGGCCCCTACATGTTGCGCCGCCTCAAGGCCGATGTCCTCAAGAACATGCCCAGCAAGAGCGAGCTCATCGTGCGCGTGGAGTTGGCGCCGATGCAGAAGAAGTACTACCGCGCCATCCTCACCCGCAACTTTGAAGCCCTATCCGTGCGCAACGGCGGATCCCAAATGTCGCTGCTCAACATTCTGATGGAGCTGAAGAAGTGCTGCAACCACCCCTACCTCTTCGCCAAGGCCAGCATCGAGGCGCCGAAACTGAAGAATGGGATGTACGAGGGCCCGGCGCTGGTGAAGGCTTGCGGCAAATTGGTGCTGATGCAGAAGATGCTGCGGAAACTGAAGGACGGCGGCCATCGTGTGCTCATTTTCTCACAGGTGAATATTTTGAAAGTTTATAGCTTTTCTCAGTTTAAAATTTTGTAATAAGCTGTTGTTTTAGATGACGCGCATGATGGACGTGCTCGAAGACTTTTGCGAGAACGAGGGCTACAAGTACGAGCGCATCGACGGCTCCATAACGGGACAAATGCGTCAAGACGCCATCGATCGGTTCAACGCGCCCGGCGCGCAGCAGTTCATCTTCTTGCTGTCGACGCGTTCCGGAGGTCTGGGCATCAACCTGGCCACCGCCGACACCGTGATCATCTACGACTCGGACTGGAATCCCCACAACGATATCCAGGTTTGACTTTTCGAAATTTGCAAAAATTCTCTCCTTTTTTAGGCCCTCTCCCGTGCCCATCGTATCGGCCAGCAGAACAAGGTGATGATCTACCGTTTCGTCACGCGCAACTCGGTGGAGGAACGGATCACGTCGGTGGCCAAGAAGAAGATGTTGCTCACGCACTTGGTCGTCCGCGCCGGCCTCGGCCAGAAGGGGCCCAGCATGAGCAAGACCGAGCTCGACGACGTGCTCAGATGGGGTACGGAGGAGCTGTTCAAGGACGACGGTGAAGAAACGGGCGAGGGCGGCGAGAAGAAGGCGGCCGAGAATGAGATTGTGTGGACGGACGACGCTGTCGATGTTCTTCTTGACAGGTTGAGTATTTTTGTTTTACTTTTACTTTTTCTTTTAGAACTCGCGGCGAAGAAGAGAAGAAGGAGGAAGTCGACGGCAAGAAGAAGGAGCACTCTACGAACGAGTACCTCTCGTCGTTCAAGGTTGGTTTTTTGCATTTTCATGCCTTTCTCTGTAACCTTTTATTATTTTTGTTTTTATAGGTCGCTACCTACACGACGAAGGAGGTCGAGGAAGAGGAGGAAGAGCCTGAGGAGCGCGAGGTGATCAAGCAGGCCGGAAGCGAGGACGACCCCGACTACTGGAAAAAGCTCCTGCGCCATCACTTCGAGCAAGACCAAGAAGTCGAGAGCCAGAAGCTTGGCAAGGGCAAGCGCGTCCGCAAGCAGGTCAACTACGAGGAGCCGGCCGACGACGATGGAAAACCCCTACCTTGGGCAAAGGTATTTTTGCTACCAATTTTACTGATACTTTGCTGTTTTAGGTCAATGGACAGCTGGAGGTCCTTGGGTTTAACCCCCGCCAGAGAAGGGCCTTCTACAATGCCTACATGCGATGGGGAATGCCCCCGCACGAGAGCTTCGCAAGCCAATGGCTGGTAAGGAAATTTTTATTTGTTCTTTCACATTATTCGGGGCTCGTATTTTGCTCTATTACCCACTTTTCTGAAAAAATCTAGGGCGCGTTTTAGTTGAAAATATATATTGAATTGAAGTTTTTTATATATTTGAATTTCCTGAAAACTAAAAAATCCTTAAATTCTTAAAATACTCCAGAGCTTGTTACTAGGGCTTTTTTAAGCCTTTTTTTCCAGGTACGAGATTTGAAGGGCAAGTCGGAGCGCGCCTTCAGCGACTACAACGATCTCTTCCTCCGCCATCTTTCCGAGCCCGGCGGCGAAAATCAGGGAGCTTTCAGTGATGGTCTCCCCCGTGAAGGCATCAACCGCCACCACGTCCTCAGCCGCATCGGCGCCATGATGATGATCAGGCTCAAGGTGCAGGAGTTCGAATCGGTATGTCATTTTTTGGTGCAAAAATTTTGGTTTTTAGTCAAACGGCGACTGGTCCGTGCCGGAGATTCGCGACAACATGCTCGAAGCGGCCGGAGCGAAAGAAGCAAAGGATAGCCAGACGAACAGCCGCGAAGCCAGCCAAGCCCGGGAGGACAGCGCATCTACCGCCCCGAAACAAGGAGCCTCGGAAAATGGAGAGAACGCCGGCCCAGAAGGTAATTTTCAAATCTAATTACGATCTTTTTTTCAACTTCTTGACCGAACTTTCTTTTCAGCCAACGGCGACGAAGCAATGGACACGACGGACGTGAAGCCGGATGCCGAGAAGACCGCCTCGAAGCCGCTCGATAAGAAGAACCGGCCGCCGTTCAAGTTCAACATCGCCGACGGCGGCTCCACCGAGCTGCACACGCTGTGGCTGAACGAGGAGAAGGCGGCGGTGCCCGGGAACGAGTACGAGATTTGGCACCGGCGTCACGACTACTGGCTGCTCGCCGGCATTGTCACTCACGGATACGGGCGCTACCAAGACATTCAAGCCGGTACGTTTTTGGGCTTGGCAACTTTTCAGGAGTTTTTCCATTTACGGGTTTCTTTTTCAGATCCGCGCTTCTCGATCATCAACGAGCCGTTCAAGATGGAGCTGGGCAAGGGCAACTTTGCCGAAATCAAGAACAAGTTCCTGCAGCGCCGTTACAAGGTATTTTTGCTTTTTTTACATATTTATTTCCCTATTTACAGCTTCTCGAACAAGCGCTGCTCATCGAAGAGCAGCTTCGCCGCGCCTCCCACATCAACATTGTCAACCAGCCGCAGAACGACGGCACCGAACAGCTGGCACAGCGGTAGGTATTTTGTCATGACGATTTCGTTGTTTTATTTTTCTTGGTTCTGACGTTATCTTTTTAGCTTCGCCGACATCGAGAACCTCGCCGAATCGAACGCGAACATTGCGCGCGACTCGGCCGCCGGCAACCGCAACGCCAACGTCGTGCTCCACAAGACGCTCGCCCAACTCGAGGAGCTGCTCACCGACATGAAGGCCGACGTCTCTCGTCTACCCGCCACACTTCAGCGTCTACGACCCGTCACCGCAAGGCTGGGCATGACCGAGAGAGCGTGAGTTTGTTTTGAAGGGATTGGTTTCGGTTTTTGGAAAAATCTCTGGGCTTTTATCTTGAAAAAAACTTATTCAAACTGCTTTTTTAGCATCCTACAACGACTCACCACAAAGGACACCGAGGCCGTCGCTGGAAAGAGCCCGTTGCCACCGCCCGGCCCGTTCTGCACGCCGACTTTGGGACAACAACTCGCCGGCATCCAGCCCAAGTTTGCCGCGCTGCGTGAAAAGGTTTGGGAACTATTTGGTATCTGAAACGTTTGTTTAGAACGGCGATGTGATGGACACGCCGCCGGAGTTGGACGAGAACGCCGAGAAGGAGGTGCCGACCCTGGAGAAGGAGGTGCCGGCGACCGAGGAGCCGAAGGAGGAGGTAAAATTTTGAAGTAGAAACGAAACGAAAATTTTTGACTATATATCTTTTTTGTGAGGTTTTTCATAGTGTTTGCCCTTGAAATATGGTCAGAAATTTGTTAAAAACTATCAAAATGCTTTAGTCTATCTACCTAACTTTTATTTACTTTTTTCAGATGGAGGTTGAGGAGAAGCCGGCGGCCCTGCAAGACGAGATCAAGGAAGAAGCCGTCGCCCCAGCCGCTGAAGAAGCCCCAGCCCCCGTCGCGGCCGCCGAGGAGCAGCCCATGGACTGCAGCGTCGAAGAATAAGCGGTACCCCCATTCCCCCATTTTTCTTTTCCGGTGTCCCCCCATTTATTTATTCCTCTCACTTTTCACCCGTTGGTCTCATTATTCACCCCCAAATGCATTATTATATCTCCTCTCTCCCCCTTTTGATATATCAGCCATTTCTTGATTTACAATTGGCTCAATAAATTTTAAACTTCAAAAGTTTGTTGTACGAATGAGGAAATGCACAGCTACGCGGTACTGCAGATATTTGAGTAACTTTGGTGAGAACACGCAACAAGACAATAATTAGCGGTTCGCGGCTTTTTTTCTGGATCTAGTGCGTCAGGTTCATGTCGTTTTGAATTGAGAATATACGCGAGATTCTTGGTTTCCAATTGAGCAAATACGTGAATACGTAGTTTTCAATTGCAGGCGTTTGTAAAATTCCGATTTTTATTTCGTGCAGAAAGATGGATTCATTTGCTGAAACCCTCAAAATGTTTTCACTGGACGAATCACGCGAAATTCTTAGTTTTCAATTGCGGGTGCGGGTGAGATTGTTAGTTTACAATTGAAAAAGTACGTGAAATTCTTCGTTTTCGATGCGTCAAGTTTTTTCCAGACTCGTTGTTACGTGGGGTCAATAATTTCCAATTGCGGAAGTTCATGCAATTCTCACTTCTTTATAATTGTTTTTAAAACATTCTATTTGTTCTCGTAAAGCTTTTCCAACCTACCTTCTACATTACCTTTTCAGCTTTCCTCAAACGCCATGGAAGGGCTGCCCGTCGATGGGCTCATTGTCATTAGAGGTTTGGTCGGTTATCCAGTTCAAAACGTGTTTTAGGATCGGACAAGTACCACAACGTCCCGCTGCTGCGGTGGCTGGCGGCTCGCACGGACGATGTCTACGAGGTGACCCCACGAGAAGCCGTCGCATCGTTTCGGGCTGATCAGAGGTTTGCTTGTCATTTTTTTTGAAAAATTTTTGTTTAGAACCGTAATCGTGCCCGTCGACTACGACAAGCCTTTTTTGGATGATGTCCTCGCCTCGGTGCCCGCAACAACCTCGAAGAAAGCGCTCGTCTTCATCGGCTGGCTCGACTTCCTGGCGCTTCGACACGGGCTGGACGCGGTGCTGGCCGCGCTCTACCGACTGAAACGTTGGTTTTTTTTATTTCATGTGGGCGCTGGGGATCCGAATTTTCACAAAAACAGTTCGTAGATGAATAAAAACCTAAAATTCTGGGTTTTTTCACATTTTTCTATCTTATAGATCCAGAAATGCATGAACGTCAAAGCAGGAATGAATTTTAGTTGTTTGTTTTTTTGTAAAGTTTAGCTATATTTGAGGTAATAACCCTTTTTCCAAAACTTTAAAAACTGTTCAAAAATTAAATTTTGGGCATCGAGCAACTCGCAAGCGTTTTTGGGAGAAAATCCGGCTTTTTTATATTTAGCAAAGATTTTCCAAAGTTTTCGCGTTTGAAGGGTAGAACTTTACGTAACGTTTGAACGTTTTAGAAACACTTCCTCCCGTTACTTTAGAAAAATCGGGTCCTAGAAATCCTAAAGATCCCGAAATTTTTGTGTAATTTAGAACGATTCTGCGTGTGCGTGTGGCTGGCCGGGGCGACGACTACTGCTGAATGGCAACGTGTGGCCGCGGTGGCCGATGCGACCGTTGAGGTACGGACACCCATGCCCGGCGGAAGTGAACGAGCCATCGTCCGGTTGACAAGTTGGGAGCGGAATGGGAAGACACACAGCACGGTGCGTTGGTTAGAATAACTTGGGCTTTTTGTTTTGAGCTTTTTAGCCATTTTCATGAATTTTTGACCAGGAAACAAGAATTTGGAAATTTTTAAAGCTTTTTTGTGGGGTTTTGATAGCTGAAAGCTGTGTAATCCTTTCTTTTCAGGAAGAAGAAATGACGATCGAACGCGACCCGCTGAAGCTCACCTTCAGGAGAGTGGCCAAGGAGCGCGCGATACCCGTGGAAGAGGTGCCTTGTTTTTATTTGGGTTTTTGTAAAGCAGTTTTTTTAGCCGGAGCCCCAGCAAACGCTCACCACATCGTTCGACATTGGGCTGAGCTTGAAGGAGTCGGAAAGGTATGAAAACGGCTTGAATTCGTTGAAAAGTGCTCATTTTTAGGGCAGCAAAAGACGCGCTTCAACTGCCCTACACGAAAATGCAGAGCGAGCAAGGTTGGTTTTGCAATTCATAGCCTGGGTTTTTATTTGTCCTTGTTTTTCGGATGCAGGAAATCTCAATTTTTGGCTATAAATATAGTCTACTTGTAACATCGTATGGCAGTAGTTTTGGCTATATTTGAAATGAAAAACTATCCAGAAAACTTTGAAAACGGTTTAAGACGTTGTAAATTTGGTAGAAAAACGTGAAATTTTGATGAATAGTAAAAAACAGTTTAAAAACAGTAGTGCTGCTTAGGTTAGAAAAATTAGATCCCATAGCCTTATAGTTTGTTTCTAACTTTACAGTTAATTTTCTTATTCCAGGCCTCGTCGACATTCGGATGAGCAGCGGGCGGAAGGTGAAGGTCGGCGGCCAGATCATCTACACGCCCGACGACGGCGACGACCTCGACGACAGCGACCCGGACGATGATCTGAGCTTGTAAACTACCCCTGCCCCGTTTGCTATAACTTTTCCGTTTCTCTGCCCCGTGATCGGTTGTATTTGTTGATTTCTAGCTTGTTACGTTGTGTATTTTTTTGATTGTTTTTGCCGTGCTTTTTTTTTTGAGGATAAATCGTTTTGACTGGGTGGCAAAGGTATGGGAAGGAATTTTCAAGTTTTATAGCTTTGTATCTGTTTTGCTGAAGTACGAGACTTGGCTTTTGAAAGTTGGCGCTCCTCTGTTGCACTCACATCACCGTAACCCGGTTTTGGGCAGGGCGATTTGGCTACTAGAGCGCTAGTGAGGGGAACCGGCGAGCTCTTTCGACTAGGGAAAATGTTATATTTTGTCTGTTTATTTGCGTAAAGGCTATTTTGATTTGCCGAAACTAATTATTTGATAGCAAACTAGATTTGCCGATTGGCAGCCCGAAAACGGTTTTTTTGGCAGCTATTAGGCTAATTTTCATAGCTTTTCAGTACTAGATCGCCAGCTGATATAGAAAAATGTATTGTACATTGAAACTGTAACTTTTGGGGCCGGAAATCCTTGAAACCGATGTTCTAGCCTTTTTTCCGGGCGTGATTCGCCTGCCACTCACCAGTAGTTTTTAAAACCCTTCCTGATCTTCTTCAATTTCGCCTTTAATTTCTTCGTTCTACAATTCGTCTTCGTTGGACCCTTCAGGTCTAATTTATAGATTTTTTCCAGGTAAACGTCATGCTCGCCACCGGGCGGCTACTCGGGCGGCGGCTCTTCTCTTCGAGCGCCGTCTGCGCCACGCAAAAGGTGATTTTTACAACTTTGAACAGTAAAGGTAAAAAACTATCGAAGTTAGTAAGCTTCGCCACTTTCTTTTGCGTCATTTCTTTGGCGTAATTTATGCAGGAATAGCCTTTTTCGCTTTCGCTTCTTTCGCTTTCTCAAATTTGCCCCTCCCAACAAGCATAGTATGAAAATGCGTGCGCTGAACATACAAGTTTTTCCTGAAAAAATGTGTCTTTTCAACTAACCCTTTTTTCCAGCGCACGGAAACGATCCCCACGCCAGAGGAGGCCGGCTGGGCGTTCAACCACGTCGAGAAGAAGAAGGGGATGTACAAGCCGAAGCACAGCACCCAGGAGCAGATCGAGTACATGAAGTCAAAAGGTAGTTTTTCGGCGCTTTTCGGATTTACCCCTCGTTTTGTTCAGCCTACTTCGACGCCTACAAGGGCCTGGCCGTCTACAGATGGTACAAGCGCAACCTGAAGGGCCAATCCATCATCCAGCCGCCACCTCGACTCTTCTGTATCGACAAGCACGGCCGCTTCAACGTCAACCACGCGTGCCCAGTGTGCAGGTGTGTTTTTGCGTGATATGCGCAAGGTTGACTTTGAAATTCTTGGGTAGTTTCGGCGGCCACAAAGCATTTTCCTAGCCCCCGGTTTTTCACATACCTGCGTAATGCCGTGTATCTACATGTAGTTTTTCACAATTTTTGAGCAAAAAAACTTTACAAATTAGTTTTAAAACCATAGAACAATTGATTTTCAACCAAACGATGAATTTTGAGGGAAATTTGAAAGTTTCAGGTCGATTTCCAAATTAAAAAAATAAAAGAAACAATAAAAGACATAGTTTATCGTGGAAAATGATAACTTTTGTGCAAAAGTTGCGAATATAAGTTTATTTTTATAGCTTCTTTCCTGAAAATAGGCGGAAAAATGTGTGGAACACCTTCTAGTTGCGGAGAATAGGAAAAGATTAGGTTTCCCTCATCAGCAATACGCAAGCACCAACCATTTTTCAGAGACGAGTATCTCTTCTTCGACTTCCGGAACCCGGACCTGATTCTGCAATTTTTACAAGGTATATTTTAACGAGCGTCTTTAAGACTGCGAGTTTTTAGATGGCACCGTGCAGCCGTTGGACATCCTGAAGACCGGGCTCTGCCGCGAGCAGTACGCGCTGTTGAGGGTGAGATTTTTACGCTGGTTTCTCAATGTTTAATTGTAGGCACAACTTTTGAAGGCGAAGGAGCACGGCACGATCACGTTTGGTGTGGAGTTTAGGTAATTTCCGGATAGAATCCTACTATATATAAAAAAATAGTGTTTGTGTGTGTGTGTGTGCCACTTTGCATCCACTTCCGTCTGTCTGTCCGGAGGATATCTCGATAGGGGATGGATTTTAAGGTACGTATGATACATCGTTAGGTGCGCAATGGTCTTGAGATGACTGCACACATATCAAATTTTACAAAATCACCTATTTTCGACATTAAATTTAAGTTTTTGTGGAAACTTCTTAGTTAGAAAAAATTAGCATAGACCGGAAGTGGGGATTCGACTATATAAAGGGCCAGAAGAGGTTGTTTTTCATTTTTGTCATCAGAACGCAGGGTAATTATGCAAAGGATGAAATGGGGTCAGACGGGGCCAGGGTTGAAAAGTCGCGAAGCGGCTTTTCAACCCTGGTTAGTTTTAATTATGCTGATTTTTAGAAATTTCGACTATCGACAATACTACCCGTGGTGGAGCCAGGAGCCGCCAAGACAGGTCAATTTTTGCTACAAAATTTTTACCGAAGATTTGATGATCGCCTTCGTTTGGGCGTGCTTTCGTTTGGTGCTGGCTTAGAACTTAATGTTAGCGTAGGATTTCAATCAGGCTTTGTTTAGCATGGGCTTAGCTTAGGCTTAGCTTAGCTTACTGTTTACTTAGGCTGCTTGGTGCTTAGCTTACTTAGGATTGGCTTCAATTAGGCTTTGTTTAGCATAGGCTTAGCTTAGCTTGGAGTTGACTTAGGCTTGGATTCGATGGTCTTTGTTCAGCATTGGCTTAGGTTAGGCGTTGCTTCGATTGGGCTTTGTTTAGTACAGGTTAGCTTAGGCATCGCTTAACTTAGGGTTAGCTTAGGATTGACTTCTATTATGCTTCCTTTTGGATATGCTTAGCTTAGTATTGGCTTAGGTTAGACGTAAGATTAGCTTTCGCTTACGCTCATCCTCTAATATTTCACAGCTTAGCTTAACTTTGCCACAGCTCCACTGCCTTCCGCTTCGGCTTAGCTTAGGATTGGCCTCACTTAACCTTAGCTTAGCTTTTCCATACGTTTTCCTTTGGCGTCGCTTAGCTGTAGCATGGCTTATGTTTCCGCCCCAAAAACAAGATTGATATCTTTTTAATCCGATTTTTCCAGGTGACGCGTGGCGGCCTGACCCTGCCCGACATCCACCCGGACCCGCTCATCGAGTTCGACGCGTTCAAGCCCGAGGTATTGTAGAGATGTTTTCAAAAGCTCTATTTTTAGCAAAATACGTGGTGGGACCAGTACTGGCTGCGGCACGACAAATTCGCGAAGAAGGCCAAGTGAGCGGACGAAGCCCCGCGCCGGGACCACGACTACACACAAATACACAACTTTGTTTTGCGTGTCGATAGTGCTTATTTGTTTGTGTTTGTTTAAAATAGATTAGTGTCGAGTTTTCATTTTTTGTCGTTTGTTGCCGTTGTTTCGTTGAATAAAGGGCTGTCGCTGGTGTTAAAAAAAGGTCGTTGGCCAGAATTCTTTTTTTATTAACCACAATGTTTCGGCCGACTCCTGTTCGTGAAAAATGTGAACAGTTTCTCTTGTAGTCTGTAGCCTGTTGTCCATTCCATCTTCAATCGTGTACCGCCATTTTTTGGAGCAGCAGCGCCAACTCCACTAGGGGAACAGCTTGTTCTCGGCTGTCTACCAATGCTCAAATTTAGGCGCATCTACTCCGTAGTGGTCTCGGCTAGCGTGCCATCGTCGCAAATGAACTCCAAGCGCAGCCGCTGGGTTCATTCCAGGCTCTTTTTTTGCAATCTCTTTACGCAAAGCCGGTTTTGCGGGTTTGTTTTGTTGGCTGGTTGTGCATCAGGATTATGGTGTGCAAAATAGGGGGATACCGTTTATTCGCGAACACCCAATGAAGCAGACAGAATACATGCAGAAAAGAAAAACAACCAAAAAGCACCGAGAAACCAGAACGAGATATTTACAGGCAATTAACTTCTACAAAACCTTTAATAGTAGGAGGCGGGGCGGTCGGGGTGGGCGTAGTCCAGTAGTCGGGGTCGTTGTCGTTGTAGATGGAGACTATCCCCATTCTCCGCACTTCCAACACGAGGAAACTAAAACACCAAAGTGGATGGCGCCAAGATATCTCACCGCGCAAGTGGCCGACGAGGCGGCGATTCTGCTCCGCGTCCAGCGCGGAGTGGAAGGCGCCCTGCACCTTCATGGCCTCGTAGAGGGGGCAGAGATCGTTGTGCCCAGTATCCTGGTCGCGCTTGCTATATGGCAGTCGTTAAAGCGGGAGATGAGCAAACTCACGGCGCCTTGCGCTGTCGACAGCGATTGCATCGCTTGCGCCACTTGGTGGAGAACATGGTGTGGCACATCGTGCACTAAAAAGGGCGTGTCAAAACTGTTTCCCAGCACACCTCCCGCATCTTCTTTTTGGAGGCGCTCTAGGTTCCCTTCAGGGGGGTGTCAGCATTCTTCGGCTCTTCGGGAACGAGGGCCTCGTAGATTGCTTCATCGCCATCTTCATGCGGGGCGGCGGGGGAGACGCTGAGCACGGGCTCCGGCTTGTCGGAGCGACGACGTAGCAGACGAGAAAGTCGCTGAAACACAGCTGATGAACGATCGCCCGCAGGCCACTTGCCTTTATGATACCCATCTGCGGGGAGCACGACCCGTGAATCCCGTACACGGGCTATAGGGAGAGTCGAGTGATGACGAGTCCGGCTGTCTTTTCCTTCTCCTTTCTCGGCTGCTAATTTCGCATGGTTTTTAGTTATGTGGATGTTAATTATACGTTATTTTCGCAAATTATGCTAACCCGGTTTTATGTAAAGCACACATATTTTGAAAATCTCTTTTTTAGCAAAATACTGGGACCAATACTGGCTGCGGCACGACAAGAACAAGGCCAAGTGAACGGGCGGCGCCCCGTCCCGAGACCACGACTACACACAAAATCACAATTTTGTTTTGTGTGTCGATTGTGCTTGTTTGTTTATCTTTAATTGATGAAATAGAATAGTCATCATCTTCTAATTTCAGCAGTTTTCGACGCAGTTCAGCGAACGAAAGCAACGTTTTTCTCGATTTTTACTGAATTTATAGTTCATATACTCCTCAATGAACTCCGCTAGTTTACCCTGGTTTATAGTGATTATCAACGCTAGCCACCAAGTGTTCTTGCTTCTCTTTTCCTCAAAAACCTACAGTTTCCCAAATGCTCTCTGCTTGCTTTCCTCGCGCTAATGGCGGTTTTTCTGGTCGTTGATCCCCCGATCCGCTCCCAAATGATCTCCGCTAGCCCCTCCCTTCGCTTCCATTATCTGTTTGGGGTCAACATCTCTGATCGTTTTGTGTGTTCGCCCACAGCTGTGTGTGCCCCACCCCAGGGGGGAAATTGGCGGAAAACAGGGCTTTTGCTCGGCTTCTCCCCCCGATTCCTCGAGCAGACAAATGCCCCGTGGGCCCTAAGGGTTTGCCAAAAAGCCGCCTGGAGGTGTCTGCCCCCGTGGCCCGTACTTTGCCCAGTCGCTCTGGCGGTTGACCTTTTGCAGCTGCACGCTTTCCTCAAGTTTTATGGTTATTATGACAGATTTGTCGATCTTGCCGTTTAACCAATTTTTCTTTAGTATTCCTATACGGCGCTATTATGAAAGATAAAACACTTTTATCGTATTGTCATCAAATTACCTCCCCCCGTTAATCAGTAAGGACCTTTTTTCATAGATTTATTCGATTGTTCGCGTTTCAGCGATGACGTGCCCCTTAGAACGGCAAAAAGTGCAGTAATCTTGTTGATCGCTGCCTCATTTTGATTATAGAACATCTGGTTGTGGGGACGGAGAAGGCGGAAACAAAATTTTTCACGGATAAAAGGTCTCAACGACAAACGCACTTGTTTGTTTTACTTAAAAATTGTTTGCTTAAAATTTAAGGCATCACCATCAAAACCTGAAGAAAAAAAAGTTGTTGTGGAACTGGTGGAATCGGGCAGCCAGGCATTTTTTAACGATTTTTTTTGCGCAGGGTCGCCTGGAGCGGAGTTTTCCGCATTCAGTTTCGATTTAAATGATTATATTAGGCTACAATTCCTAGCTTGCTATCAATAGTTTTTCAAGAATTTTTTTGGCCTTGACAGTCTGTTAAAAATGATCCAGTGTGATCCATGAATAGCGACCAGAAACTCATAAAAGTCGGAATTCCAATTTCCGGTCAAGCTTGCCGGTTTTCCTGACTGTTCCTGGTCTTATAATCTGCTTCTTTTTCGCTGCCAAATTATCAGGGGCCACATGACGCGCCCGTGTTCACTGGCGGTCCGTTTTTTCGGTGGCAGCGGGGGCAAACGATTTTTCGCTGATTTTGTCCTTTCACGTGTTGTGGGGTGGAGAGAGACAGAAAGAAAGAAAGAAAGAGAGAGAGAGCGAGAGAGAGAGAGAGAGAGAGAGAAAGAGGCGGAGAGAAAAAGAGAAAATCGAGAAATGGGGAGCACAGCAAAATGTTCTGTGATTGATAGGCCAGATACGGGAAAGAAGCGGGTCCGATCCATGGCTGGTCGGCCATCGACCCGCGCCACCCTTTTAATTTATTGTTTTTCTTTATTGGCTGCGATAAATTAATCTTTTACTTTGTTCCAAATTTCATTCATTTTTGCTATTTTCTGGAGAGCAGGCTAGCAGAGATTCTTTGAGGAATTGGAGGGGATGGAGGGGGCAGGCTAGCAGAGATTCTTTGAGGAATTGGAGGGGATGGAGGGGCAGGCTAGCAGAGATTCTTTGAGGAATTGGAGGGGCTGGAGGGGGCAGGCTAGCAGAGATTCTTTGAGGAATTGGAGGGATGGAGGGGCAGGCTAGCAGCGATTCTTTGAGGAATTGGAGGGGATGGAGGGGGCAGGCTAGCAGAGATTCTTTGAGGAATTGGAGGGGCTGGAGGGGGCAGGTTAGCAGAGATTCTTTGAGGAATTGGAGGGGATGGAGGGGGCAGGCTAGCAGAGATTCTTTGAGGAATTGGAGGGGCTGGAGGGGGCAGGCTAGCAGAGATTCTTTGAGCTTGAGAGCGGCTATTTTTGGCGCTTAATTTTGCCATCTGTAAAATGTCACGTTTTTAACGTTTGTAAATGGATTAAGTCCATTTTATGAAAAATGTTCCTTGCTCTGCTTGAAGTTTTCTATTTCGTTCAATCGTTTTGTTTTTGCTCTAAAATTGCTTTACTTATAGCGCGGGAGATGATCCCCGACCCGCCACACCTCAGCCCGGCGAATTCGAATTTCTCGGTGAATGGGCAGTACACAGTGTTGAGCGGGGAGAAGAAGAAGGATAATTATTCGCCCGATGATGTGCTCGCCGAGATTGGTATGTTGATTTCTTAAATAGCTTCAGTCATTCCTCAAAGAATCTCTGCTAACCTGCCCCCTCCATCCCCTCCAATTCCTCAAAGAATCTCTGCTAGCCTGCCCCTCCATCCCCTCCAATTCCTCAAAGAATCTCTGCTAGCCTGCCCCCTCCATCCCCTCCAATTCCTCAAAGAATCTCTGCTAGCCTGCCCCCTCCATCCCCTCCAATTCCTCAAAGAATCTCTGCTAGCCTGCCCCCTCCATCCCCTCCAATTCCTCAAAGAATCTCTGCTAGCCTGCCCCCTCCATCCCCTCCAATTCCTCAAAGAATCTCTGCTAGCCTGCCCCCTCCATCCCCTCCAATTCCTCAAAGAATCTCTGCTAGCCTGCCCCCTCCATCCCCTCCAATTCCTCAAAGAATCTCTGCTACATGCCCCCTCCATCCCCTCCAATTCCTCAAAGAATCTCTGCTAGCCTGCCCCCCTCCATCCCCTCCAATTCCTCAAAGAATCTCTGCTAGCCTGCCCCCTCCATCCCCTCCAATTCCTCAAAGAATCTCTGCTAGCCTGCCCCGTCCACCCCGCCAATTCCTCAAAGAATCACTTGAGCATTATAAAAGATCATTTACATTCCAGGAGAGTCCAATCGACGTCTTTTGATTGCCATGTTCTCCGCCTCTGTCATCTGGATTCTCGGCGCGATGCCGTTGATGGCTTCCAGCTTTACCTCGGATACAAATCACGCGTCGATGCATACGATAGTTGATGAGGTAGAGCCATCTCTCTCTCTCTTTCTCGCTCTCACGGTGCCTCTCTGTCTCTGGCTCTCTCTCTCTCTCTCTCTCTCTCTCTGTCTCAACAACAATATATTTCAGTTTAACCTAACCGAAGATCGTGCCTACCTTGCCGAAATCCCGACCACAGCCTACATGGCTGGAAATATGATTGGGGGTACGGTGCTGACGCAAGCTTCAGATCGGTATGGTTTACGCAAATTTCTCTCTCTCTCTCTCTCTCTCTCTCTCTCTCTCTATCTCGATTATTTAGCTTTGGCCGACGTCCAATCCTCCTCCTCTCTTTGGCGTGTTTCTCCCTGTCCGGCATGATGGCCTCCTTTTCGCCCTCGATCACCATCTACAGCTGTCTACGCGCGCTGCAGGGCTGTTTTTATACGGTAGGTGGGCCTTTACCGTAAATTCAATATAATCAAACCATAAGCTGTGAAAATTGCCGTTTCCAGGGATGTACGGTAATCGGCTGGGTGGCCGGCTACGAGATGTCGCCGCCGAAAATGCGCCCGCTCGCCACGCTGGTTTTTGGGCTCGGCTGGGTACGGTATTTGGGTCGCATTATTTGTTGTCAAAATTGGTCTTGTTTCTAAGCACTAAATAGTTCAGTTGGTCGGCTACTCGCTGGTCGCTCCAATGGCGTATTACGCAGCCACGTGGCGTCAGCTACTGCTCTACACGGCATTCCCGGCACTGCCGTTTGCCGGATGGGCCTATTTGTGAGCTAAATTAAATACTCTTGACGTCAAAACGCAACGCGCACGCGCGCTACGCACGCTTTGGACCGGAGCAGACAAGCTACACGCGACGCGGACTCCCGCGAGACGCAACTCGTAGGCCCGTGACACGCAACGCGCATGCTCGCACTTTCATTGCATAACGAATTACGCCCGGCCAGGGGCGCGCGCGTTGTGTGTCGCGGCTGATGTAAAATCCGTAGCAAATCGGTCCCAAAAACACAGCTCCATGCCTTGCTAGCCCCTTTAAAGTGGCTTTTCGTGGCATCAAAACTACCCAAAAATTCGAAACTTTTAAGTGCTCTCCCGGAGACACTACACTACCTGGCCAGCCGGAGGAAAACCGTCGAAATGGGCCATTGGATCACAAAGGTGAGAGAAAGCGAGAGACAGAGAGAGAGAGAGAGAGAGAGAGAGAGAGAGAGAGAGAGAGAGAGAGAGAGAGGAGAAAAGAGAGATAGAGACAGAGTGAGAGTGAGAAGCAAGGAGAGAGAGAGAGAGAGAGAGAGAGAGAGAGAGAGAGAGAGAGAGAGAGAGAGAGAGAGAGAGAGAGAGAGAGAGGGAGAGAGAGC